TTCGCTTGATATTGTCGTATGTGATCCATTTTTCGTCGCCAGTCACCATCCGCTTCAAGAATGGGTCGAGTTCGTTCCGTTTCAGCAACATATCGCAGGCGTTGATTCGGTCCAGAAGGTTTTTTTGCGTCAAATTATGCGGCACCCAAACATCAAACTTTGTTTTTGTATCCAGCCTTCTGCAGATGGTTCAAAATGGTTTGGTGACTAACTCCCATCTCCTGGGCGATGTCACGAGATGCCATTTGCCGGTCTAACTCGATGTATTCCATGATTTGATCGGTATTTGTCGTCACAGGTCTTCCGTCGGCTGGCTTATGGTGTCGTTTTCACCGGCTCTGAATCGTCGAAACCATTCCTCCGCGGTTCAAAGCGATAGAGTACCATCCCCCAAAACACCATTAATCTCACGGAACGTTTTTCTAGCGGATTTGCCTTTAACGAAGGAAAACTTTTAAATAGCGCGAATTTCGTGACAAAAAAGCAGAAGAGCGGAGATAGTTGACAACCTAATATATCAAGTCTCGCCCACCGTGTATATGACAAAGTTGGTTCTGTGACGTCTGCGGTTGATCTAACGATATGAGCGTGCATACATATGTACACATTATATATGTATATACATATAAGTGTATTAAGAAAAAAATGTACACATTTGCAAAAAAATATCACGCTATCACCATGACAACACTATTTTAATGGCAACTGCTAGTTCAATTCCAAGAAAGTCCTCCTCAAGACGAGCGTTGATACATCTCCCGCACGTGTCTGCCAACAAACAATAGTGCCAAGCATTGGAAGTTAAACAAATTTATGTCTCCTTCGACAACAACAAATCGCGCTCTCAATAGTATTACCAAACGGATTTTAAATGAATGTCCAACTAATGTTTGGTAAAAATGTCTTATTATTTTTAAACATGAATTATTTAATTTATTTATGTTTAGCGAAGTTAAAATCGATGAGGAATTAACTATATAAATCTGACTGCTATTCCTTCTAAAACTTCTTCGATTGTAAAATTAATTCATATTTAAATTATACAAAATATATTACTATATTAATTTGAAAATGTATATTAACTTAGGACAATTAAAGATTTCAATAAAAATTTTAAATTTAAATTTGTGTATGATTTAGCGGGATGGAGTATTCAAAGTATGTTTTCATGCAAATAACAGTTTGTATGTCATTTCATATGCGGATATGACTGCATATTTATACATTTGCACGAAGTATGCGAGCGATTAAATTAATTTAAATTATATATGCACATGTGGTCTTTTTAAAATGAAAATGAAAAATGTTTATTTCAAACTGTATTTTATTGGACACATAATATTTAATAAAAAAAATTTTAAACTTGAAGAAAATAATATATACTCAATTTTCTATGAAATATATTCAGCCTTGGCCAAAAGTAAGTAAGCACTCCACAAAAATACAAGTATTCTTAAATGTGGCTTGGCTATCAAAGTTACCACTTCTTTTTGTAAATGTGCATTTCAAATTTGAATGTGAAAGTGTAAATAACATTTAGTGAAAAGTTACAAATCTTATAAAAAAAACAGTTCATATTTACAGAAATGCCTAAAAAAAGTGAAATTAGTTACGATGATAGAGTCAGAATTCAAGTTCTAAGTGAAGGAGGTAAGTCTCAGGTTGAAATTGCCAATTTGGTGGGATGTTCGCGGTGCTCGGTCCAATGTGCTATCAGGCAATTTGTGGAGTCGAAATCTCACAATAACAAATCAAAAAATGGAAGAAAGCGTCTAACCAGGAAACGAGAACACTGAATACTTATACGTTAAAGTTAAGATCGTCTTAAAGTTAAGGAGCCATAGCTCCTTACTCTAGAGCAATTTTGAAGACACAATACAAATCTCTCTGGAATATCATCCAGATCGCGATACAGAAACTGAATCCAAAGAAATCTCCAGGCCACAAACTCATTACATCAAAATTTGCACAAGCATTGCTCTCTGAACTCTATAATGCTATTCTAAAACTAAATTACTTTCCAAACGCATGGAAAAAGTCGAAGATATTAATGATAGCCAAACCAGGTAAAGACCACACACAGGTGGCTGCTTACAGACCAATAAGCCTACTACCCAGTCTTTCAAAATTATTTGAAAAAATACTTTTATCAAAAATATCTCCTTTTCTTCACCGCAACAATGTGATACCAGATCACCAATTCTGAATGACTAATGAAATCATAAAGGCATTCGAGCTCAAGGAGTACTGTTGTGCAATCGTTCTTGACGTAGCACAAGCGTTCAACAAAGTCTGGCATATAGTTTTACTGTTCAAAATACATAAAGCTCTGCCTATTCAATTTTATATGATACTTAAGTCATCAATCTGACTAACAGACAATTTACCATTAAACAATCTGAATTTATCAGTGAGGAGTATCCGGTAAAAGCTGGTGTTCCGCAGAGTATCGTCCTCAGGCCTATTTTATATATCACATACACTGCAGACATCCCATTAAACAGAAAAGTCCAGACATCTACCTTTGCGGATGACACAGCTACTTTATGCCGGAATAAACGCCCTAAAAGAGCAGCAAAAACGATTTGTGATCATTTACTCCTCATCGAAGAATGGCTAGAAAACTGGAGAACATAAGTTAATGAACAAAATTGTAAACACGTTACATTTACTTTAAGACCGCAATCATGTCCAGCAATTCGTTCAAATGGAGTAAGCATTCCCCAAGTAAATGAGCACTAACGGGAGCACCATGGTACGTTCCTAACGTAAATATTCATAAAGACCTTGGTATTTTACTGGTTAAGTCTGAAATTGAAAGCATTAGGACGAAGAGCTTCGAAAAACTGATAAATCATCGAAATCCGCTAGCTAATGCTTTATGCAGCCCATCCAGCATTCCTGCCTGCAGCGAAAAGATCTTCCCGCTTTCTAAGGAGAGCGCCGTAGTTTGAAAAGGGCTCAGAGTAAAATAACTCGAGCTATCATGCTTGTAATTTATTTTTTAAGATTTGTACATTTGCTGTTAGGCTTATATTAAAGCAGATCCAGTAAATAAAAGAATTGTGTATACAAAAAAGACTGTTGAGCATGGAGGAGGCAACATTATGATCTGGGGCTGCATGGCTACTGATGGTGCCGGCGAAATGTTTGTGATGGTTTTTTATGAGGAGCTTTATTTCATGTCAGAAATACACTCAGAGGGGTTGATATTCCCTGCAGAAAGTCGACCGCAATTAGAAAATTTTGCTTAATTTTTTATTTAAATTAATTTACTATAACATTTGGACGTTGGTCGCACGGGGATTTGAACCCGAGCCTTCCGAACGGCAGTACACAATGCTCACTACTCGGCTACCGCGGCCGCCCAATATATATTGAATAAAATTTTTATAATTCGAAAACACATGATTTCATATATTTGTTTGTTCTATTCGGCATAAATGCAGATTACGCAAACGCTTTTATTATGAAGATGTGGCAGAGTCAGTAGGCTTGTGAGCTAAATTTTTTTCGGTGTTTTTGCTTTTGGCGCAGGTTCAGATAACTTTCGAAGGAGTCCAGAATATTGTTCATAATTTTTTTCCTTTTTATTTTCATTTACTTCACATACTAATATTTTGTGTACATTTATACATATTTTAAAAATTATTACCAAAATTACTAATATGTAATAAATGTGAAAATTTAAATTTCTGTTAACCAGCGGTGAAATAGTCACTTATTAATATCGTATAGAGGTTAAATATCCTCTTAGGACTCCCATAGGAGGAACGAATGGCCCTTCTCTACAAAATACGTTAAATAATATAAATTTTGAATTATTGACTAATAAATAAACTCTGAATTTATTGCAATTAAGATATTTTGCAAAAATTTATAATATTATATAATATTTTTAAAATTTTAAGGACACGACACAACAGCTAAAATACCAGCAAGAATCGTCTTCGGAAGCGAGCTTCAGTTGCTTAGTGATTTAAAGTTTGGAGTAATTGATGACGCGAGAAGAATTAAAGGCAGCGAACTCAAATTATGAGTGAGAAGATGAAGAGAAAGTCAATTGTGACATAAGTCTTGTGACTTTTATTTAACAAAGCAATGATCTAAGGCTGCAACTACCCAACGAGCGTACCAGCCGTCCATAGTAACCTATCTTATGAGAGCGCCATGTAAACACAAAGTTGTCACCGATTTCCCATAGCGTTGCTGACGTTTGTGTCGCAGAAACCAACGAAGTTTTGATTTTTTCCGTAAAACCGGCTCGGCTCATTTTTCGTTGCTATACAAGGTTGAAGGATACTTTTTGTCGCTTGTTATCATAATATCCCTCTTTGTGTCGCCCTTCACGTTTACACAGTGACACTTTCTTCAAGCAATTTTTTGACATTTGTTTCTTTTTCATTCTTTCTTTCTCTACTCCGTTTTATTTTACACAAAGGAATTGTTTATTTGCTTCGCGCTTTTGAATATTTCTAAAACATAAACTCTATGTGAGTGCAAAGGAAGACAAAACTTTTATTAATCTATGTCTTATATATATTTTTTCACTCGATTAAAAATTAATTCTACCCTTTCGAAAGTGGAATCTAATTATAAGCATTTACATATCTAATCCATTTTATTCTCATCAGAGCTAATCTCAACGGCTTCTTCACTAGATTATTATATATCTTGAATTAATTCAACTCTACCTGCAAGCTCCATTATCTGAAATATTAATAATTTTACATAGGTAAATACGCGAAGGCAAATATGTTATTGTAGTGGAAACACAAATTTCAATTTCCAAATATACGGCATTTATTTGTTTGAAATTTAAAACATCTACAATCGTTCAAAGTAAAAAACAAAATAAAAGGGAATGTCAAAAATTCCAGAGACGAATAGAAACACAAAACGTGTTAAACGAACAAAACGTCACTGTTCGTTGTCCCCTTCGTCGTCGTCGTCCTAACCTACAAGCGAGAGCTTCGTCGACAAAAAGTATCCTCGTGTAAACTTGGGCTAAGGCTCCACATCGAAGTCAATCCAAATCGAGTTCAAAATATCGATATTTTTCCCCAGTCTTAGTTAGATGTAGTATTTTTGTAATGCGAGTAAATTTACGTTTGTTTAACATATCAAAATTAAAAGATACTATTAAATATGGCTTTGGCGAATATTTTACTATTGAGCCAAATAGCGGGTCATGTTATATTGGTTATATTATCATTGTGCATGATGGTTCCACTAGGTATGAGTATTCATGAATTTAGGTAAGGGCTTCGCTCATTATTTATCTATGTATGTACATTTGTAAATAAATATGTGTTTACTTTTAAAAAATTGATGCGTAATAACAAATTGTTTTGTCTTCAAAGTGGTCATTGTCTTTTGTTTACGACGGGTAAATGGCGTGAAGAAGACGGTATGTTTGAAGTGAAATGGGCGTCGACAGGATTCTGCAACTTTCCATTTTTTACTGCAATTTTCTTGTTCTTAGTGTCCACCCTACAAATATATCGGTATAGTTTATTATATTTTTGTAGAATATATTATGAATCCTTCGTTGTAGATATTCTAGAATGAAAGATGAAGCTTCATTCCTTTCTTTATTCGTCGACGTTGTGGTAGGAATTTGGATGTTATCCTTCTCCATTCTCTCAGCAGTTATGATAACTTTGGGATTCATTGTTTGGTGTGAAGGTATGACAGAGCGATTTCCCTCATGTGAAACTGCAGCTGGACAAAATATTATACACGGGGATCAAGAACACATAAACACTTCTGGTTTCTACATGGAAATGGGTACAGCACAGGTAAATAAAATTCATTTTACGTTGCATCAATAAATATCTTAAAAAAGAAACTTCACAAAAAGTTTGGTGCTTGGGGCTCATTTGCGGTAACAGTTGGAATCGGTGTAATAGCTCTGCTTAAGCTCATTCAAAATCATCAGGTGCGCAACATTAAGGTTTCCATGTATTTGGAGCGCCAACGGTTGGTAAATCAGCACCAATCAGCTTGCCAACCACCCCCTACACTAGTAAAAGAAATAAGTCAAAAGTAGTTATATCATATGGTAACTTTAGATCATCATTAAACTTGTATTAAGCTATAATATATATATATATATATCGTTTTGCTTGAATTGTGTATATATTATTGTTATTATTTCAAATATTGTCTAACACACTGTTTAGTTCTAAGATACTCGAATAGTCAATATAATTCCAATTTAATATTGTGGGGACAATAAATTTGCCACACACACATATATTTTAAACAATATAAACATTATTATACACAAGCTAATGGTAATTATAAAGTTTATTCGGCGAATATTTGACGGTTACAAAACAACAATAAAACATAAAATTTATAACTTGAAATGTGAGTTGCTCCTTCTGACGCCAAGAATATTCCCAATTAAGAAAAATTCCCTCATTTGATGTTGGAAGTAATAAAAATGAAGCAAAATACAAACATGATGGGAATTCATTGTAAATGGAATGTTGCCACGTTGGGGTATTCGGTGTGTCCCAACACCACCTCTAAATTGAGGCTTGCCGTTAGACTTGGTAAAGTTGAATTTAATAGTTGGAATGATGGTGAAAACATTCATCTTGAATTGGTAGACTGAAAATATGCAAATTTGCTTTGTTGTAAGTTAGAGAGCGAGACCTATTTGCTTATATCAATTGAATATTTTTTATACAAAAAACGAAAAGGATTTTTAGCAGTGGAGAAGGTGATATATATGAGATACCCATAAACGTGCTCAGAGCCTTTTTAGCTATCAATGGAGTTCAAGGGTGAACCCCATAGGAAAAAATTACATGTGGTGCGGATTGACTATTTCTTCATTTATGAATTTAGTGGGTGGAGCTGTCGAGAAATTTTGAGATGGTCTCATTGGCTCTTCAAAAATTGTCAAGAGGTGCTCCGAGAAATTCACGGAATTTCTATTCTGACAAACAAATAAGCATGTAATAATTTAAGCCGTCGAATATCATTCAAGCACCCTCTGCTTAGCATCTAATAGACACCTTAAGTCTATTGATTCCCTGTTCATCTGAGAATTACACTTATCCATATAAGCACGCATGCGTATGCACATATGTACCCAAGTGCATGCAAGCATAACGAAGCAAAAACTAACGCTTAAAAATATGCTGGGGAAATTGGGCGCAGGATGATTCACGTGTAAACAATGCAACAAAGAAAATCGGCAAAGTGAAATCTGTTTCGGAGATCTCACGCTATTCCCGATAACATACAGGGTGAGTTCGAAAACGTCAATTGTAAAGCAAACATACATTGCCCCGCAAAACTTGACTATTTATGATAAATATTGAAAGTGTATGTATGTATATATGTGGGAAAATTTTTGTCAAAGCTAATTTCCTTCGACATCAATGCTGTCGCTCATGTGTTTGGCTTGTGCGGCATTCTCTTTTTACGTCTATATTGTTTTCTTTTGGTTTCAATGCTGTCGCTTAGCTGTGTTCTATTTGCCCGACAAGAATGACAAAAATGCACAAGGAAACGCAGAGAATGACGTACACGTATACAAATGTAAACATCACGATTGTCATTTCGACCTTAAGAAAGTGATTGGAAAATCGTTCTACGAGCTGAGGGGATATGTCGTCATGCATTCTTGACATATGTTGGCTCAATTGATCGGAAGCCTTCTTGCAGGGATTATAATGATGCGGTTACGAAACCTCAACATTACAAAGTATTTTGACGTTTTAGAACTCGCCAACACATTCTCAATCGCTGTAATTCTGTTTAATTGGACCACCTTCCTGTGGTTCTTAAGTCTCTCAATGGTTTGGATTCAATATACCATGTCGTACAGCCGTTTAATCCTGTCTCTAAGTTTTGTGCAGTCCCTTTCTGTTGAGGTTGTATGAGCTGTGCTGAAATATACGCTTGCCCCTCTTACCACTGTCACCGATGATTAGCAGATGATAATTACACTATTCCGGTTTAATTAATTTTTTTTTTTTCAATTTTAACTTCTTAGCTAATTTTTACCAACCAGAGCAATTTAAAATTTATCAAATTATTGTTATGCCACAAATTGATAGTTGAAAGATTGAGGAGCAAAACGCATAACTTAACATACGAGTTTGGCAGAACTTTATTCCCTTATTCAGTAGAAGTAATTTTTTCGTATTCGTAGTGTAAATGATGGATTCGATAATAAGGATGAATATGTTGGTTAAAAGGGTACTAGAATAGCGAACGAAGGTAAATTTTTGGCCTCGGGCCTTAAATAAGACATAAGAATTTAAATAGAAAAGAATGCTTATATATTAAAACTACATTCTCTTAAAATTATTTTTTATAACGGCTGAATCTGTACCATAATTTACTATACTGAGCTAAGTAAAAAAAAAATGGTTGCTAATTATGAGAATTTACAATATATTAAAGTTTCTACTATAAAATAAATCGTTTATTTATTCAAAAAAGCTTCTGCACCCGACTTTCAGAAGGTATCATCCCATCAAAGCACGAACACTATGTGGCAGTGAGAGCATTCCATTCAAAGCGAGGGTTTTTCGAATGTGTCACAGGTAAACATTCCGGTTCCACCAATTTCCAATTGCCACTCCCTACTTCCTCAACAATACCCAAACTGCAGTATGGTATTTTGTGTATAACTTGACGTAATTCATTTGTGCTACGCGGCTCTGCACCAATTAATTGGCGTGTGCATGTATCAAGAGTGGTTGCATGTGCAACAATTAAAATGTTTCCCCCTATAAGATACACATCAAAATTTAACATTACGATTGAAAATGTATTTAATGCAGCACTCACTAGTTGTTTCAATAATTTTGCGCGCAGTTTCATAATTACGCGTATAAAACTCCTCTGTCGTTTCTTTGATGCAGTCGTTCAGCTTACTAACAGACATAAAAGGATCATAGTTTGTATCTACATTGCAATCAGCCTCCAATAACTCCGGTTTACTAAGCCAATCGGGTACACCGTCCGGATACCAAGCCATCCACTCAAACAAACCTGGTTCTAATTTAATTTTAAATTTGTGGCGCGAATTTAAACCTATTAAGTAATTTTCAAATAAAACCAAAATTTGTAAATATCAAATTTAATTTACCTTCTAATGTGCTTATGCAGGTTTGTATACAACGATAGGCTGGAGAACAGTAAACATGATCGATGCGAACATTACATTCAAGTAAGGCTTCTCCCGTCAGCTTTGCTTGAAAAAGCCCAATGTTCGTAAGTGGCGAATCATTTTGCCATCCTTCAGGACTCCTTTGCCTTAATTCACAATTTAACATTGATATATGGTTATAATAATCAGTAGTTGCAAATGCACAACATTAATATATTGCGATTACCTCATGTGGCCTATACCAAACAATAGGCGTTCTTACCTACCTTCGTGGCAATTTCTTGGGCATATTTAAATCCTTTCGTAAGTAGTTGTTGAATTCGTCAAAACAGTAAGGTATCCACGTGCCAAAGGTGAAATCTACGCGCTCTCCATGTCGCATTATGTACATCCGCCGATTTTTGTCTGATGCCGCCTCAAGACTTCCAACCTCTTGTGAACGCTCAGAGTCAATACTAAGTGTATCATCGTATCGTGGTGCTGTAAACCCAATCGGCTCTACTAATATCTCCATCTCCTTTCGTCGTGCAGCTACTTCGATGACGTGAGATGCAATGTTTTCTAAGTTCAGGGATTCCTGCTGTTTACTACATTGTACCAGCTGACTTGTTCGTCCAGATTTGGGAAGTTTATTACTATTTTGTGTTACTGATAAATCCAAGCACGGCTCCAATGTTTTTCGTAGATATTTTTCCACGCTTTTCTCCGATTCATCATTCAACAAAGACCCCTCTAGCATTTCATGGGGTAAACCAACTACATTATGGTAAGTGAAACAAAAAGGGGTTGTATGCCATTGTACATTTTAAAATTTATGATTCACTTTCACCTACTTTGATGATGCAAACAACTTCGTTCTCGTTCGTCATGGTCAATTGAAATACTACGACCATCGACAATATCGATATCTTCGGCCGATGTTAACGACGGTGTCATCGACTTTGATAACTGCACGACACGATGCAATGTCCACGCATCTGACTCAGCAGTGCGCTCAGTGTAATTTACTGGCAAATGACCAGAACTTCCTGTAAGCCATGAAATGCCCTCCACCCAGCCATCACAAGAGTTATCAACTGCATCCGTACTTAAATAAATATAATCGCCAATACGTAACTCCAGTTCATCAATTTCATGAGGACTATGGGGGTACACCACCTTATGAACCTACAAATCGCAAAAGTGAGACAATAACAACATAAAACTAGTTTTTCAATGTAAATACAATAGATACAGACGGAGTCAAATGATAAGTTACATATAGGTACTTAAGGCATTTCCTTAAACGTGAAAATATTTCATAACATTAAAACATCCTCCGCCTCCATAACCAACTGTCGAATTATACAAAATTTCGGTTTGCGGACTTAGCAAATTTAAAAAGTAATTTAATCGCGAAAAGAAACGAACAAATGGTTGTAAAGTTAGTCGCTGTATTTATCTCGTATATTCCCGAAAATCGATAACCTCGCACTCACGGTCTGCTTTTGCGTAGACGATGTGTAATACAAAATTACTCTGACCGATCCATTAATCTTCTAAATATCTTAATTATTAGATTGTTTTTAGAGTTCCATTTTTCTCGTTTAAGACAACCCCTTAATTATTTAAAATAAATAAAACCATTGGATATGCAACAATGTACTTGTTTCGTGGTTAATCGAGGATCGCGCGAGTATAAACGCAGCTCCCAATTCGAGGCGCAAGATGCGTCGAGCAATTCCACTAATGCTTTAAGTGCATTAAATTGATTTTGCGGAAACTGATATGCTAAGGTAAGATGCAGAGATTTTACGTGGGGCTCCAAAGATATAGCTAAAAATATATATATACAATTGTAATAAGTTGTATTTATAAATCTTATATGTGGCTTGTTAAAACCAAATGTAAACTAATTTCTCAAGCATGCAAATAACATATATTTCATAAAAATACGAGCTTTACTTTTAAAGTATTAGGCCATAAAATATAATTCAATGTCCTTGCTCTTGTCACAAAGGAAAAAGTAATAACAAAATTAATTCATATTTTTTAACAGTTAAATTTTATGTATAATCTATAGCATAAATATTTTTACAAATAATTCATATCATATACCATGATAAAAATATGTAAGCACAACTGCTGAGAATCTGTTAAAAAATCTTTGACGCTTGCTTGCATTTTAAAAATATTTTTCTATCACTTTTATTTTATGATGCTTTCACTCCAAATAAATACCTAGTTGAAAAAAGTAATGTATTGTAATGCAGAAAGTGAGCTGGCATTACGCTTATAATACATTACGTAACACATTAGCTTTAACACAAAAACTCTCCTATGAATATGTAATTAAGGCGGCATAGCACGTGCATTCATCGAAATTTCCGAATATTAAAATTTGTTGATTCTTGCTCGAAAATGTATTTCATTACAATATAGGTAGAAAATGAAAAATAGTAAAATAAACATATTGACCTCACAACAATAAGTATACCATCTTCTCTGCCATTTTTTCTAAGATCAATAATTATTATCACTATTACTATTATTATTATTATTTTTTTTTAATATGATAGAACACAGTTTTTTAGCATGTTGGCAAACGTCAAAAAGATATTATATTGTATAATGCCGGAAAACAAGGAAGTAAATTTGGAGAGTGGTCGTAGCTATAAACATTTTTATCATGTTATATACCAAAGACGAAATATATTTTCCTTACATCGACTACTACGAGGTATACAACGTGTACCAGACGAAACAGCACCGCACCATGGGAAGCAAGCGACTATTGCATCGAGCTGCTCATATGTATCGCTTATGACTTTTAAAATAATATTTCATTAACCATAAACAGCATAATTTTTAAAAAGGTCAAGCAATATATTATATATATGTATATATATATAACATACATATATTCCAGTGAAAGCGTTTTTGAAAAAGAAGAGTACCAAAAAATTTGCCATTTACATTGAGGAAAAAAATAGTTGCACCCCAGTCCACAACATTACGTTCACAAATTGTTTTTACATTGGCAAACGAAAAAATACCAAAAATCATTTATATAAATACAAGAACAGTGTCATACTTGAGTTGGACACCTCCTTAACGTATTGCAGCGATAGCCGTTTTAAATAGTTCGCGTCATCCTCGGCTACAAAGAAACCCATAAAATTTTGACTCATATAAGGCTCCAGCTTTAATGGCCGATCTAGCAGTGCGCCACTCATGTCTACTACTTGTTTCAGAGCTTTAGATAATTGCAATGAGCTTTCGTCGGGTGCCTTTATACATAAAAGAAAAACAGAATAACAATTAAAAGAAAATTATTTAGTACAAATAATTAACGATTTTTAAGATTTTAACAGAACTCTTTCTGAGCTACGTAATATTGGGCAAAACTCATGGTGTTATAAAATACAGTTATTTGAGAGGTGTCGTAGTCGAGTGACAACGCAAAAAATAAAGGAAAATAGAGAACCTACTACAATTAGATTTCTGCCTTGAAATAGTTTCAGCCGGCAGCCATTTAGTGTGTCTTAAAAACGATTCAAGATTGACTGAGTCATACATAGCTATTTAACACGAGCCTGATTTTGATTTGTTTTTCCGAAAATCGCTTCAGGGGTTGTATAGTTCCAATTATATAAGAGTTTGTATGTATGTATGTGTCGCTTTTTCCCTATTCAAAGTTTTTCGGGTAAATATCAATCAAATAAATCGATACATTTTTGGAAAGAAAAGAATTTTAATCCCAATTTCGAATAATAGGTAGTAAGCAAAGAGCTACCTATCTACGAGATGTGACAATTAAGTAATGAGACTGATTATATTGCCGGGATTGTGGCAATTTTGCGACCTTGAAATTGACTTTATATTCTCCTTGCATCACTCTAGCTTGTTTTGTTTGGCTTCTGCGTCGTGTCTAATCCGTGAAGATCGACGTTTAACAGTTCTACTACCGCCAAGAACTCAAAAGATTGCGAAAACGAGTCATCAGGGTGCGTCCAGACATCGCTTGCAACTGGATCCTTCATCACGACAACGCGCCGTGCCACACCGCCCTCAGCGCGCCCCAGTATTTGGCCTCTAAAGGGATCGCCGTGTTGCAAAAACCACCTTATTCTCCAGCTAAGTCACCCTGTGACTTTTTTTTGCTCATTGGAAAAAAATCGATGGTCGAAGGAACCCATTTGAGTTGATTGAGGACATCCAGGCGGCCGTGCCGTGGGTACTCCCAGTCGAAGCGTTCCAGAAATGTTACGAAAAATGGAAAACGCACTGGTATTTTTGTATAGCTGCCCTTGGGGACTAATTTGAAGGGGAAGGCAGAATTGTAGAACAATTTTGAAATATATGGTTTTTATGGAATAAGTCTCATTACTTAATTGTCACACCTCGTATCTACCAAAAAATCCGAATCGGTACTAATTTTTATACATTGATTAAAAAATCAAAATGGAACATAGACATAATGTGACCTCTATTGCGTTTATTAAAACAACTAATTAAAAAAAGTTTTAAAGGCGATATAGCCTAAGAGCTCGCTTCAACCAGGCGCACATCATTTTATAAAAGCTTAAAGTTTGTCGGCCCACAACATCAACATAATGTATATAGGGGAGGACGATAAGATAACTAATAATTTTGAATTACTAGTTGCAAATACGTCCTTGCAGGCCACTTGCTATGGTTTTAATAATCACTTTTCAAGTATTATATCTTTTATGATTTGCTAAAATTAATCATCCTATTATTAATTTTTTATTAATATCATTGTTTATTATTTCTCATATTTGAAAACGTTTTTGCGGTGCACAGGTATATTTTAATATAAACATCCACCAAATTTATCGAAATATTTTATTAACTGAAAACACAGTAATAAATCAAAATGAAACAATGTGAAGCGATTTCTGAAAAAAACGATTTTGCAAATTTTAAGTTCACTGTATTGGATTTAGTGCTATGCACTTCACGATAAAAAAATTTCGCGGCTGAGTGCGAGAAAGAGAAGTAATCGTCTAGAAATAACACAGAGGAGTATCTAATGGATTGCTCCAAAGGGATCATATGATCCTAAAATATTCTTACAATTTTACTCTCGAATATTCGATTGGTGTTTAGATTCAAACATATGCGAAATAACCCAACATCAACTCGGACCATTATCCTGTTGCAGCGGAGATACGCATGCGCCTCTGTGTGTCGAAAGTTCGACGTTGAAAAGCTGCAATCACAACAGACTGCCGAACGATTTTCTACTCGACTTGAATTCCTGCTCTCTGAGAGCACTCTTCAACAGCTCGGTATACGGGAACTGTGGGACGGCATTTCAAGCACCTTACGTACAGCTGCAAATGAAACTATTGGATTTCGTAAAGGTCGCAAAAACAGCTGGTATAATGAGGACTGCCGTGTCGCAGTGGAGAGAAAATAGACTGTCTACCACGCAACCTTGCGATCGACCACAACACGTGCGCGATGGGATAGATACCGAGAGATGAAGAGGGAAGCAAGACGCATCTGCAGACAAAAAAAGAAAGAGGCCGAGATGCGTGAGTATGAAGAGCTTGAAAAACTGGCCTACAAAGGTAATGCTCGAAAATTCTATGACTTACAGAAGGTTTCAAGACCGGAGCAGACTCTTGTAGGACACAAAGAGGTGATCTAGCCACTGATGCCCAGAGTATAATAAATTTATGGAGGGAACAATTCTCCAACCTGCTGAATAGTAGTGAAAATGGAGAACCCAGAAATGGTGAACCCGAAGCCCCTATCGAGGACAATGGAAAAATCGTTCCATTACCTGACCATGAAGAAGTTCGAATAGCAATCGCCCACTTAAAAAACAACAAAGCGGCGGGAGCTGACGGTCTACCGGCAGAACTATTCAAACATGGCGGCGAAGAGCTGACCAGGGTCATGCATCAGATATTTTGCAGAATATGGTCGAACGAAAGCATGCCCGACGATTGGAATTTAGGTTACCTGTAGACCTAAACGGGGTTAGGTCTCCGAAAGGGTGACAGCCCTTGGCCGGATAAAATCCGGGTCAACTCCGGTGCGCAGAACCGGCTGTCGTGAGAGTTGTACGATAATGGCGTCCGGCCAGGATATTGATGAACTCTGCTCGAAAGTAAACGGCTACCTCGCTGATCTCTCCCACTTCTTCACTGCAAGACAACTACGAATCCAACCGACTAAATCCTCGGCTACCCTTTTCACCAGCTGGACGAAGGAGTACAGGCTGGAACTGGATGTAAAGGTCGATGACGAAAAAATTCCGACGATAAATAACCCAAAAATATTGGGAGTAACTCTAGACAGCCTGCACTCCTCATACGACCGCAATTGCCGCAAAACTCCAGAGCCGCAACAAAATACTCAAAGCGCTAGCCGGCAGCACCTGGGGTAAAGATAAAGAAACTTTGCTGGCTACTTACAAAGCAATTGGCCGGCCGGTCGTAAACTATGCTGCTCCGATCTGGACGCCGGGGACGAACGGGACGCAGATGAAGAAGCTACAGGCTTGCCAAAACACCGCCCTCAGGACTGCGACAGGAAACCTCCTGATGTCGCCGGAGCATCACTTGCACAGGAAAGCATCTATGCTACGAGTTAAGGAGCATAATGCTTTGCTGTGCAAGCAGTTCCTACTGGGATGCTACCGCAGGGAGCACCCCAGTAGGCACTTAATAGAAGCTGAACCTCCACCTAGGCACATCAGGAAGGGAGTACTAGGCTTCAAGGACACGATCCAGCAACACACACAACAACCGCTGGACAGGACGGCGTATCGACAAGCACTGAACGCCATTCACCAGGAGTCAGTTAACACCTTCATGAACTCCCTTCCAGTGAATGGCGTACTCGGAGAAATACCACCACCCATAGCAGGCAACGAGCTCGAGCTGCCTCGAGAGACTCGCGTGACCCTGACACAACTCAGGTCTGGATATTGTAGCAGGTTAAACTCCTACCTATCCAGACTAGACCCCAGCATACCTAACGTATGCCCGGCATGTGGAGAGTCCTCGCACGACACTAACCACCTCTTCACATGCCCCCTCAAACCTACTCATCTAACCCCCCTCTCCCTTTGGTACAACCCCGTCGAAACAGCTCGTTTCCTGGGCCTACCTTTAGATGACCTCGACGACTTAGACTAATTCAAACCTGTGCCTAAGCGGGGTTAGCTAACCGCTACAACAACAACAACAACAACAACAACATTGGAATTTAGGAGTAATCTGCTCAATCCATAAAAAAGGGGACCCCACAGTATGCGCCAATTACCGTGGGATAAGCCTTCTTAATATCACCTATAAGGTCCTGTCGGGCGTATTGTATGAAAGGCTGAAGTCCACCCTCAACAAACTGATTGGACCTTATCAGTATGGCTTCAGACCTGGTAAGCCAACCATTGACCAAATATTCACCATGCGACAAATCTTGGAAAAGACCCGTGAAAAGAGGATTGACACCCACCACCTCTTCGTCGATTTCAAAGCCGCCTTCGAATCGTGCTATGTCGAATTCGGTATCCCCGCAAAATTTATACGGCTGTGTAAGCTGACGCTAGACAACACCAGAAGCGCAGTGACAGGTTGACTCTTTGTTGAGCTGCAGAGCTGAACAGAGAAGGTACAATCTTCTATAAGAGTGTACAATTACTGGCGTACGGCCTTAACAACCGCGCCGTTAGTTATGCTTTCTCCAGGCTTGATAAAGAAGCTTAGCGAATGGGCCTGGTAGTGAACGAGGACAAGACAAAATATGTCCTGTCATCAGACAAACAGCCATCGCATTCGCAATCTGGCTCCCACGTCACTGTTGACAGTCATAACTTTGAAGTCTTAGATAATTTCGTCTATCTAGGAACCAGCATTAACACCAATAATAACGTCAGCCTTGAAATCCAACGCAGAATCACTCTTGCCAACAGGTTCTACTTTGGACTGAGTAGGCAATTTGAAAGTAAAGTCCTCTCCCAACGGACGAAAACCAAACTCTACAAGTCCTTCATCGTTCCCGTCCTGCTATATGGCGCGGAAGCATTGACGATGACCATCTCCGTTGAGACAGCGTTAAAAGTTTTCGTTTACGCCAGTAAAGTAAGTAAGTAAACGTATGTGCCGATATCTGATCTAAACTATACACCACCGTTGAGACAGCGTTAAAAGTTTTCGTTTACGCCAGTAAAGTAAGTAAGTAAACGTATGTGCCGATATCTGATCTAAACTATACACCATGATGGTTAGTATGAGTCAAAGGCAAGCTCAACAAAATTATATCGATAAAGAAGAGAAATCAAGAGCTGATATACATTTTTTTCTTCGTCATGAAACAAAATCAATCAATATAATACTATATTATGAGTGCTCACTGATCACTGACTTTAACTAAACAAGTAAATGACTAACCGTTTTGGGTTTATTAAGTGTGAATTGACGTTTTAATACTAACATTAAGAGATCTGAAGCTTTTAAACGCTCACTATTGAAAATATTGACTATCTCTATCTAAGTTTTTCACATATAAGTGACTTGTTAAAATTTTGTTGGGGCATGCAAGCTTTCGTCGCCAATAGTTTAAAAAAGTATCACCTTTTCGACCAAAAATATTGGTTGTTTTTTACAAGTTTAAATAATAATACATAGTAGGCAAATATAAAAAAGCAAGCGGTTGTTTAGATTTTGACTCGAATGAATATGTATGTACCTTAAAAAATGAGACCAACGTGATATGTGGGACATAATTGTGTGCACCATTCCAACCACACATTATACGTGACTTTTTCCAAAATTCCTCCAACTGTTGTAGAAAGGGCCCTGTAGGGCATGCATACAAAATGTATTCGCGAGGATTATTTTCATCCAAAGTTGAGTCGTTTACATGAGCAAGCAACCAATCCGAAGCAATCTGAACTCCTCTGTTACCAGTTGCAGCTAAGGCCTTTTCCCTGTTTTCAAATATAAATAGAAATATATATTGAAATTACATTAAAAACATTTTTTTAATGTATATGCTTCTCTTTCTAAACCAATATTATTCACTAAAACTTTCAATATATGTTTCAATTCAATATATAATTTTTATTTAAAAATTCTGAATATACATATATAATATATGCATACTAAATTAAAAGTATTTTGATTACCTGTCCAGCGGTACTAATCGAAGTATAGACATTTGTTTTTCATCTTTTGCCCCCTTCCCCCTAGGACGGAACCACGTATATAATTTTTCCCGGTATTTTATACCTAAAATTTTTGGAAACGTGTGCATAAAATCTATTCTGATCAAATGAAAAGATGGTAAAAAAGTCGATACACTTTTTAAAAATTACTCTCATACATATGTCCTAAGCTGCATCTACATTTTTTCTGTGATAATGTGAAACCGAGTATTAATAGAATAGAAGTTTCTCGTATCTGGTATTTCTCCTATATAAGGGTACGGTGGAACGGCATCTCAAACTTCCTACGTATCGCCGCTACGGAAACAATTGGTTTTGCAGTGCCAGAAAAAGGGCGGGTACGATGAGAAACCGCAGTCTCAACTCTCACGACAGCCGGTTCTACGCACCGGAGTTTACCCGGATTTTATCCGGCCAAGGGCTGTCACCCTTTCGGAGACCTAACCCCGTTTAGGTCTACAGGTAACCTTAGTCTAAGTACGTCAACGGAGCAACACCTCGCAGCTGGCTTGCTCCAAATCCTTCTGATCAGGGCTGGTGTAGAAACCAACCCTGGACCGACGGATTACTTCTGCTGCGTGTGTCAAAGAAGACTCCACCATTCATCCACCTCGGTTAGATGCACCCAGTGCAATGGCTGGAGTCATCTTAAGACCTGCTCAGGCTTTAAGACCCACAGGGAATGGACCACAAGTTATGGACCACAAGTTATGTGCCTCCACGGCAGTGCCTTCAGCACACATACCCACTCTGGGTAATCTGCAGACCTCCATGGTCTTACGGAGCTCCCCGCAGCATGATTCCCCCCAACCTCCACCCCCATCCCCACCCACAACCAGCTCCTCATCCTCCTCCCGTGCGAGGGCTACCCAGCAGCTCCTAGTCCCCCGCACTGTCTGTTCCGTGTGTCAGACCATAGTGCGTCGGAACGTGACCTCAGTCAGATGCAATTTTTGCTCTGGCTGGTGTCACTTTCGGACATGCTCTGGCCTGCGCACCACCCGTGAGTGGAGCGATGCGTACGTTGCCCCATGCTGTAGGAGTCTGCCCCCGCATGTCTCTACAAACCCTCCGCCAATCAACACCAATGTGCGGAACCAACTCCCGCGGGTAGTACAGCAGCAACACACACCATATACGCATCACTCCCTCACTCCCCGAATCACGAACGTTCCCCCGAGACTGACCCGGCTTCTACAATTCAACTGCAACGGACTCCAGGGAAAGATTGACGAGATAGTCGACTATATGAGCCGGGAGCACCTGTCAATTGCTGCGATCCAGGAAACCAAGTTGACCGCCCGATCAGATCTTCTGAACAGGGCCGGATACAACATAATCCGCAAGGATCGCGAGCGAGACCATGGCGGGGGCCTAGCGTTCATCCTGCACAACACCGTGCAGTATCGTCTCATCGATGGCGACATCGACCGCAGGGATACTACCCTAGAATGTCAGGGCATAGCTATCCGGTCAGGCGATGTCGAGCTCGAAATATTTAATATATACATTCCTCCAGTTACAAGTTGCCCAGCTGGATACACCCCTGACATAGGTGCGCTACTCAGGGGCGAAAACCGTTTGGTTTTGGGCGACTTTAACGCGCATCACGATCTTTGGCATTCTAGCCTGTCAAATGACCGTAGAGGAATGGAGCTGGCGGAACAGATAGACGATTCGACATTCTGCACAATGAACGATAACACCCCCACCAGAGTTATGGGTAATTGCCAAAGCTCGCCAGACATAACAATTGCGAGTGCTGGTCTGATAAACAGTATAGTCTGGCGACCTATACTGACGTTAGCATCGGACCACTTGCCCATACATATCTCGATTGACAGGCCTCCCGACTTTGTTTCCGCGGACCTCCGGACATTCGTTAACTTTAAAAAAGCTAACTGGTCCGGATTCACGGAATTTACCGAGAACGCCTTTAGTGCTCTTCCCACTCCAACTGACGTCACCGCTGGTGAACGCTCATTCCGCAGGGTCGTCGTGACCGCTGCCGCCCGCTTCATCCCGGCAGGCCGAATTGCGGAAATCCGCCCTAATTTTCCGAGAGAAGCGGCGGTACTAGCAACCAGGCGCGACACCCTTCGAAGCTCCGATCCCGAGAATCCCCTAATCAGGGATTTAAACGCGGAGATTCGACGAGACGTAAACAATCATAAGCGGAAAAAGTGGGAGGAGCACCTAAGGACCTGCAACCTCTCCTCTGGGGCAACCAAGCTCTGGGCCACAGTCAAGTCGCTGTCTAACCCGATGAGACGCGATGACCGGGTGGAAATTTCATTCGGTGATCGCGCCTCGTCGGACCCGAAGAGATGCGCAAGCTATTTTAGCCGTCTTTTTACATTGCATCCCTCGGTAGACAAAGCGAAACGACGTGTGACCCGCCGTATGCGCAAACTGCCAAACACCAGCGCGGTGCTTCATTTCTCCAGGGAGGAGGTTCAGGGGGTCATCGGGAAGCCGAAAGCCTCCAAATCCATCGGCCCCGACGGAATAAGCATGCTGATGCTGAAACATCTTGGACCAGCGGGAGCAGAATTTCTCGCGAGGGTCCTCAATCTGTCTTTGACCCTGAAGATACCCGACGTATGGAAAATGGGTAGGGTGGTCCCGCTACTAAAACCGGGGAAACCAGCCAACAAAGGAGAGTCTTATCGGCCGATAACTCTCCTCTCCCCAGTAGCGAAGACACTTGAGGCCTTACTGCTACCGACCTTCACTCACCATCTGCGTCCAGCAGCGCATCAGCATGGCTTCCGAAAAGTGCACAGCACCACAACAGCACTTAACGCCATAAACACCCAGATAGTCCATGGCCTCAACCAAAACCGACCCTGCGCGCGAACTGTCCTAGTAGCACTGGACCTGTCAAAAGCCTTTGACACAGTAAACCATTCAGTGCTACTAAAGGACATTGAGGAATCCTCATTACCGCCGGGGTTGCAGAGGTGGGTCATGGGCTACCTGAGTGGTCGACAATCATCGGTAATATTCCGAGGTAAAACATCTAAACCCAGAAAAACTAAGCAGGGGTTTCCGCAGGGTGGTGTCCTCTCCCCGCTACTGTTTAACTTTTACATCTCCCTCCACCACCAGAAGGAGTTTCCCTAACCTCGTAAGCCGATGTCTGTACGATAATGGCGTCCGGCCGGGATACTGATGACCTCTGCTCGAAAGTAAACGGCTATCTCGCCGACCTCTCCCACTTCTTCACTGCAAAACAACTACGAATCCAACTGACAAAATCAACGGCTACCCTTTTCACCAGCTGGACGAAGGAATACAGGCTTGAACTAGATGTGAAGGTCGATGACAGAAAATTCCGACGGTAAATAACCCAAAAATATTGGGAGTAACTCTAGACAGCCTGCACTCCTTCACTCCGCATACGACCGCAATTGCCGCAAAAATTCAGAGCCGCTAGAAGAAGCTACAGGCTTGCCAGAACACCGTCCTCAGGACCGCGACAGGAAACCTCCTGATGTTGCCGGAGCATCACTTGCGCAGGGAAGCATCGATGCTACGAGTTTAAGAGCATAATGCTTTGCTGTGCAAGCAGTAGGCACCTAATAGAGGCTGAACCTCCACCTAGGCACATCAGAGAGGGGAGTACTAGATTTAAAGGACACAATCCAGCAACACACACAACAACCGCTGGACAGGATGGCGTACCGACAAGCACTGAACGCCATTCACCAGGAGTCAGTCAACACCGTCATGGACTCCCGTCCAGTGAATGGCGTACTCGGAGCAATACCACCACCCATAGCAGATATATTGGAGCACATGGATAAATAAAACAGATAATAAACAAAATTTTAATTCATTGCCTATCAATTCTTCTACTTTGGGTAATAAGTCCCCTTAAAAATTGTTCTCTTAGTGCTAAATTTAATTTCCAAATTTTGCATTTCGTCATGAAATTCCCTTCCAGGGGGAAAGCGGTTTGACTACATTATAAGAACCTTCTGCATTTCATTCAATTTTATGGCAAACCTTTCTTCCGTTCTGGATTGTGTATCCACACTAAATTTCAGCTTGGAAGGTCTTGCCACCTTGCTACTTATAACTTATCTTGCCTGATCATTTATCTTCCTCAGTTCTTGAACTAGAATGTTACATGTTTCTTTTCAATTCTTTTCGCATCACCCTTTACTCTAAATTTGAAAACACTATACAACCGAAGTTCAGTGCACTGCCAACCCCCACAATTCTTAATTCGAAACTACTATTATATCGTCACTTTCTCATAATATATCAAAACAGTCCGTTATCAACTTTATCACTTCTTTTTCCTTTTTTATAGCTTTGCAGTCCTTCAATTGAAGAATTGTGCCGTTATTGTTGTACTGTTGCCCCATACACATGTAAAAAACTGTATTTCGTTGAGAGTGTTTCTACAGTTTAAGGCAACTCTTGACGTCCGCATTAAAAAATTTAACTTAATTTTTTTATTTGAATTAATTTTCCAACTGGATGTTGGTCGTACCAGGATTTGAAACTGACGTTCCAAATGGCAGTACGCCCTACTAACCACTCGCCTATCGCGGCCGCCTGTATGTACAGTGGCTTACAGCCAAAGTGATGTAGCTATCTAAGAAATAGTATAAGTTTTAGCTAAAATTTAAATAAATTTTCCAACAGACATGAATGCCAGTTAATAGCCGCAGATATACACACTTCATTGATGTTTTAAAATATATTTTCTTAAATATATTTTATGTAATTAACAACAAAAACAAACTTCACTATTAAAATAGCGAAAATGATGCATTAATAATTTTATTTTTTATTTAAGAACAAAACTAAAATTGTATGTTAATTAATATTTAGTAGCATGTAGCTGTGTATATATGTAGGGAAAATTTTTGTTAAATGAGTTGGATTTAGGGAACATGCAAAGAGGTATTTAGTTCGACGCGAGAACTCATTGCATGCAGGACATACGTATGTAACTCGATTTTTATCCAGCAAGAGAGCTTCAGAAAATAGAAGTTGACCAATAATGAGGAGAGGACGCCACATTGCAGAACTCTTTGTTTAATCTTTCAGAGTTTTGCTGTTTCAACTCGAAATACTAGCTTTTGACAAATCCAGTGCTACCATGACAATTCGCGCACAGGGCTGATTTTGGTAAAGACCAAGTACTATCTGGGTGTTTATGAAGTCAAGTCTGTCTTTCATTTTACAAATATTGACCTTTCTGGTATAAAAAACAAAACGTATTAAATAATATGATTCCAATACTACCAAGCAATCTCAGATTTCAGTAATTTCTTAATAAATACAGCTTACCTCTTTATTTCTTTATAAAAAGACTCTTACCACCTTTTCGGCCAAACGAAATACGCACTAAAATTAACACTGTTTATCTCTTTTCATTGACAATTTTCGAAGCTTGACATGTACAGACTATACGCACTAAAATTAATACTGTTTATCTCTTTTCACTGACAATTTTCGAAGCTTGACATGTACAGACTATTTACAGTTAAACAATTATTATTAATCTTACCTATACCAACCATTGAATATATACAAATGTTATATGTCCAAGATAGTTATATGAAAAATAAGTATAGGTAAGATTAATAATAATTGTTACTGAATTTATCTGCTCTGGACAAAACACAAAAAGGGCGATCTCACAGTTAGTGCCAGTTAAAGTGGAATATGCCTCCTTCATATCGCATGTAAGCTCCTATCGAGCATATTGTGTGAAAGGCTAAACCCACCGTCAACAATCTGATTGGACCTTATCAGAATGGTTTTAGACCTGCTAAATTCACCATTGACCAGTTAATTACGATTATATTGACATCATTGATCTCATTATCCGCCGGTGGTACCATGGGAAGAGGACGACCTCTACTCCATTGGAAAGACTAGGTATAGGAGGACTTGACTATACTTGGCATTACCTATTAGGGCCAAACAGCGATAAGAAATGAATGGAGCAATGTTATTAATTCGGATGTATTCGTGTAAGCGGTGTCTGCACAAGTAAAGAAGAAGCGATACTAATAGTCACGAAGAGAGACTAAGGCACAAATTGGAGCTTCTATTGAGTCAAAAGGAAAAAATAAAATGAAGGTTTAAAAATGTATAGTTTACATACATATTTAAAAAAAAAACTTTTGCTTCAACGATACTTTACTCGTATGTATGTACCTACCTAACCTGATTTAAATTATCTTAGTTGTTAAACACTTATGTTCCTAGAACTATGAATAAATTTATATTTTCATATTTTACTTAAACAGTTTTACGAGGAGTTAATAAAGACTGTTAACAAACACTAAAATAAAAATAAATGAAAATATAAAGATATGAAAATGACCTGCTCTATATTATTTATACTTCCATGTTTTAATTGTCACGAAACCACAGGAGTAATTACATATTTGTAGAGCTTAAATACATAAAACGAGATGCAAGAAAATAAAATTACTTGATAAATAACATACTTTAAATGTGTATATCCACGTATGCGTACGCACGGTATATTTCAACCAACTTTGATTATTCTGTATAAAACAAATTATCCTTGATGTTAACATTTTTCTAAAAACCAAATCGGTATTACAGGTTTTGTGTATTATCCATCCGTAATGCCCTAGTTTTAAACTTACGCTCGATGCTTAGTAAAACCCATTTGCAACAATGTCTGTAATGGTGATAGGTGCTGTTTTGAGATCCTGGTTGGTGTTAGATTCTTCCGCGGAGGCAGTTGTGCCATGATTCAGAATGAAGCTTCCCAAATTAAGATGTAAGAAAAGAACAAGACTATCAATATAATATCAATTCACTCAATCACTTTTTAACGAAAATTCTACACCCAAATGCAGCAACAATTCCGATACGATATTACATCGATACCTATTTTTTGTTGAGTTGTTTGCAGAATTGAATGTATCCGATTATTGTTGTTATTCTTTTCATTTTCGGGCGAATATAGATATATAGATAAATGTCCGTTTAGATAAGTGTCAATTTACTTAAAATTTCACTGTAGTTTACGTCTATGGCGGCATGGAGATAGCAAAGTGCAAAGTTTCAACAGGCAAATTTTTATCTCTATCTTTAAAAAATAAATTAATATCATATTAATTAATGACTGATATTGTTCTGAAGTTCTCATTTTAGTCGTCAAACTAAAGACCTTGATTGTAAAACTAAACGGCTTTGGACTCTGAGTAATGCATCTATATCAGGTCGGTATTCAACAGGGCAACAAATAATTGGTGTGGTGTATATATTAAATATTTCATTAAGTGTATATATTAAATTTGTCAACACAAAGCTGTCACGCAACGCTGCGTTTAAGTTATATCTGCCATCGACTTAAATTTTAACATGCTTACAAAATAATACCAGAAAGCGTAAATCAATTTAGATTCTCTGTTTATCGGTTGTCAAAATCATTAATGCAACTCCTCGCTTAAAACTGGAAAATAGTCACCAGAGAACGCAAATCGCATGCCACTTTGTTCTGCATTGCGGTCAACGCCAGATTTCCAATGAATGAGATTTCTATTACGGCTTTTCCTCTCAACTGCGAATGCGAATTACCATCGTTCACACGGCACGCAATTTGACAGTTTCCGGTTTACTTTTGTTATTCTATTTGGAAAGTAGTAGAAATTAATAAAATCTTGAATTGAATTAGTAATGCAAATGCCAGTTTCTTTTTTCTTTCTTTAATTTATTATTTAATAATTTCTAGCTTTTTCTTCTACAATATGCAAATAGTTTTTTCAAATAAATGATTGTGTATTAGGGGTTTTTTATGATTTTCGTCCTTTATTTTGAGTAGCAGGTTTCTATAAATATTCGATAAACATTAGAGACGGCAATGATTTGGTCGTAATTCGCAAGGGAATTGAAAATGAATTACCCACTTTCAGTGTCATTCGCTCACAAATATTTATATGGTATTTGGAGTGTGAATTACGATTACGAGAGTGAAACACGTAATTGGGTTGTCGTGGAAATGCCGTATATGAGTGGATATTAAACATTTTCACCAAAGGAGCTGGAAATTTTAAGTTTTGTTTTTTGAATTTTCAAAAACAAAATACACGCAACCAGAAGTATTCCCTAACCTGGCCACAGAACTTAGAGTAAACCATTTCGCAACTGATCACTTTGCAATTTCGTGGGCATAATTGGTATTTATTTAGATCGCCGACAAAAGTATTGACAAAATCTCAAATAATATTAAAAATAATGACGATATTTAATTCGACATATGAACTATGAGGAACAAATACAATTATAATTTCAGTCATTCATTGCGAAAACTTAAGATTTTTTAAATAATATTTTAATATTTTTGCAACTTATTTCTTTACATCTAGTTTTTTTTAAATATGTTTTAATATGTTTAAGGATTTTTAAAAATTTATTTTTTAACATTTTTAAATTTATTTTTTTTTGTTTTTTTTTTATATATTTTACTTTTTTTTGATATTTTTCATGTTTTTCTATTATATTAAATTCATATTTAGCACTCTTGAAATTGCCAAACCAAAGGTATGCAACAAATTGAAAAAATAATAGCTTCTTCAGTGGCTGTTTTATAAAGTATGGTGAATCCCTTTCCCAAAATTTTTCAGAAATTGTTTGAAGCATGTTCGTTGTTGCAACGAATTCGCACCTGCTCGTTACTCTTAGTTCTCTAAATTGCACCTTCTTGTTACTCTAAGTTCTCTGCTGGAGTACTGAACAGGTTTCCTCTCTAAACATGTAAAATACTTTGATTGTATTTATTAATTTGGTAAAGGTTTAAATAAAATTTATTTTTAACTTAGTTCATTACGCAAATTATTCATTAACAAGATTGGGTCTACTTTCTATTTTTCATTTCTGTAATTCAGCCATTTGTGCTTCAAAAAGTGCCGTATTTATTTTATGTTTAAGTCCAAGTAACACTTCCCGATTCGTTATGTTACGCATTTCATTGGATACATACTCGCCGTAAGTTGTGTACTCATCGCGAACAGCTCCCGAGTGTACTATTGCCGCAACCGATTTTGATTTGGAGTTTTTATCAACATTTCGTCCTGATAGCTGATTATTTGGTTTGTGGTGGATTTGAACCTTGCTTTTGGAGTTTAACACGCTGTTTGATGAATAGGAAATTGGATTTGAAGAGATTAGGGTTCCGGGATTTTGCTGACCAGAATTCTCATAAAAAATTCGTTTATCCTCATGCGATTGTTCCATTTCATCGTCATAAAACTCAGATTCGTTGCAAGTATCGCGACGTTGTATTTTTATAATATGTGTTGGTATTGGCGCGTGGTGTAAAGCTTGCTGATTGGGAGGACCAGTATCGCATCTTTCCGCTCCTGTTGGCGATGAATACGTTATTTCTTCTTCTACCGTTTGTATTTGAAGTGCTTCCATTTGCTCCTCGTCTGCTTCCATTGGTTGGTGGTCCGAATGGATTCTATGATTTCGTATATCGCCGTCAGTGTGTACTTCACTATTATAACCTTGATGCCCGACAGCAACTGTCATTTTTGGTTTGTCATCAATATCTTCAACGTCTTTGGTGGTTTCTTCAATTAATTTTTCTAATGCACGGGATCGGCTGGTATTACGACAATGTGTAGAGTTACTTATGGTATCGATTGATATAGCTGGTTTTGCTTGTACAGTTAAATACTCTTCATTTATGTTACTGCCTGAGTTCACAGAACTTCCACTACTTTCATTTTGTTGCGTATTTGCTTCTCTTATAATATATTTAGGCGTAACCGTCCCCTCTTCCGTAATTTCATTTTTAATACGTCCTCGGGACACGCGTCGCGCCATTGGAGAACTTAAAAACTGTAAGTTATTGAAACCAAACCACTTGGAATTATAAGGCTCTTTACGTTTCATTCGATTTATTTCTCTGTGATATTGTGTACGCAAAGTGTGGAACTTCTTCTCGATCTCAGCAACGGATATATTACCACCCAAATTGCAGCTAACCTCCATTAAGAGATTATGCTTTACATCTTTTTTCCTATAGTCATCATGTGTCATATCCCATAAACCTCTCCGTTTACGGTATTCACTTATAAGGGTAAGCGTTTTTTCACGGGTCCATTCCATGACAATTTTAGATATGATTTTTGTGCTATCCTCAGATCCAGCTAAGTTACTCATAATGTTTAAGCGACAACATTAGTATGGTTATATTTATATGGAGATCAAAGTGTTTTCATTTCTTAATCACTTCAATTCCGACATCTTTTAAAAGAAACAAACTTTCAATAAAATGTTTCGGTAGTGTGTAATATTGGCCAAGTAAAAGATTGCAGCTCCTAACATAAGCTGCAACCTACTTCTCCGTTTGCGTAATACTCCATTCAATTCACTTTATTCTTAATGCACAGAAGATTGTCCAATAATACAACGTTAAAGGCTTGCTTTTGCAGCGGAAAGAATGTTTTCGACAAATAAACAATTTCAGTGCTTTTCGTTTAGTTTCCACATTTGAGAAGTTGGAACTCAGTTATTCATGAATTGTTTTCTTTATTATACGTCAAAAGTAATGCTGCCACTCTGCACTTGATATTACCACGGAATATTTCAATTGTTACACACATTAATGTTTCGTACAGATGTAGCAACTAATTATTGTCGAATTGCAAGTCAAAATGAAACATTTCGAAGTTTAATTTCAAAATCACAAAAAATTATTATTTCTTGACATTTGTAATTTTACTGTAATTTATCAAAAATTATGTTTGACAATTTTCAAATAATTTGACAAGTATAGCACGAGCAGTAGGAATTTGAATTTCAAAAATCAAAATTGTCACACACTGTAATATGCTTTTCAGCAATATATAGGTAAGTTGCAGAAACTGGTTCCAGTGAAACGGTGTAAACTCAGTGGTACTGGTAGATTAATTGATTAAGCAATGAATATTGTAGTCAAACATTTACTGGAGTTTCACGTATGAATGCTAGCATTTCACAACATTTAGACGCATTCTTAGAAATTACAATTGGACAAATGCAGGAGAAAATGCAGAACTCAAACAGGGATAGGATTAAATTAAAATTGGACAAATACAGGAAAAAGTTCAGAATGTCAACAGGGACAGAATTAAATCGAGCAGCGGCAAGATAAAACAGAGGAGTTAGCTGAGGCCACAGTCAACGGATTGGAAGCTGAGGTCTGAGATTTCAATTCGAATCCGCCAACTACTGCGATTAATGCTCCCAAGTAATTGCAATGAAGGCAAAAATAGAAGAAGTAAAGGATTGCCCGAGACTACAAGAATTCGCATAAATTACGGAGTTTTTTTATGGGTTGTTCACCTGCCATCGGCGATTTGCTTCGTATTTTTCCATCAATGCTAACAATGCCATGAGCTTACAAGAATACTCTCACCAACATACAGGTAAGAATCTCAAAATTAAATTTTTCAATATTAGCTTTTAGTACGTCAATAGTTGCAGGCTTGTCGCTACAGACATGAGCCTTAACATAGCTTCACAAAGTATAACATGTCGTACCAACTCGTTAAAACCTTGTTTCCGTCAAGTCCATTTTTTCTATTTTGCACAAAAAGTTTGTAATCATCGCACGGTAGCGTTTGTCACGTTCCGGCCTTCCACGTCTTTGAAAAAGTACAGTGCAATGATGCTAAGTGGTTCTTGCAGTGCTCTTGGTTGTCCCTTACGGAAAATTTTGCCGTTCAATCAGAAATTAGCAATCAGAAATTAGCTTCATCCAATTCTTGCACCGCCAAAGAACAACGTATATGTTGTAAACATACCATAATACGGCATTTCTACAAAACGGCGATTGTTTTTGCTCTCTCAATCGTAGTTCACTCTACAAGTACACGCCGAATTTGTAAATTTGTTATACAAATTGTTTGAGAGCGAATTATGCCAAAAACGAGTTATTCATTTTCAATTACGACTAGATCGTAGTCTTCCCTAATTTTGTCGGAAATTTATCGAAGACAGCTGACAAATAAAAACAAAGAAGATGAAAACCATAAAAAGAAACACTAATAAGACTATAACGGAGTTTTTCACTTGACCTGGCCAAGGATAACCTATAATGATAAACACGCTAAAACAATTTAATATATTATCTATATATAGAAAGATACAAGTTGTAAATATCTGTTATCTATATTTCTACGATACATATATCTACTACTTCTCGAAAACCCTCCCCACGCCCCTTTCCATTGATGTGAAAATCCTCATATCCACACTACGTTTGTAGGTTTTGCTGATGCCACGGGCAACACACACTTAATTTCTTTGAAATTTTCTTCGCCTTTTATACCATTATATTATTTTATAAAAACAATTTACACCTTCTGACAGTTTTCCTTAATGCTATGTGTGTGTATGTGTATATATGAATATTCATACAAACTTATATTTAAACATTTTATGTATATGTATATATAATTACATGCTAAATGTACATTCATATATATGTATGTATGTATATATATATTATCGACCTCAAATTATGTTTATACTGTTGCGAAAATGCGAGGCGAATGTCAGATGAAAGAGAGAAGCCGATAACTAGTACGCTCTAGAAACGATAAAACAAGAACCTTCCATAGCGAACAATTCGATGCTTCTACGCTTTCGTCTGCGAGCAGCCGACTGCTATATAAAGGCGGCACTCCGCTGCAAGTCAAGTTAGTGATAAAGTAAACTCGTTGGCGTTAACATCAGTAAAGTCGTAAAGTAAACACGTTGGAGAGTACATTTAAGTAGAGTGAATTGTGCAAGTTGATGATAGTGATTGTAAATAGTAGAGTGTATTGTAATTGTATTGTGAATTACGGAGTAAATAAAAGACATTAGATAAAATCTTTATAACGAAAGAAACTGCAAATTGAATTGGCGAGTTTTTATTTAACAATCCAGAGATCGTACCCGAAGGATTTGGGAAATCATCGAGGTTGATTTAGTAAAATCGTAACAATACATATGTGCTTACATATATTTTCTTGTGCGGTTATGAGAGCCCATCATTTAAAACTTTGGGTTCCTTACAAAACGGAAAAAATTATTTCACAATTTTTTAAACATGTTGATTGATTGTGTAGTTGTAATGGAATGTTTTTGTCGGGTTCTACATGGTGACACTTATATCACCATTTTTTTTACTTTTACTAAAAATTTCAATTTTGCCTGTGATTTCAAATCGTACAAAAAAGTAAGCCGGCGAAAAACAAAGTTGTCAAATTACGTGCCGTGTAAATGGTATAATCCCGTTAGTAATTGACAAGACGAACAATGTAATTCACGATGCCGTGGAAGAGCCATATAAGCTTTGTATATTTTCCATGACAGAAACGCAATAAGGATATCAATAATGTTTATAAAACGATAACACTTTATGTATATCTGGAAGCTGTAGAAATTTTGGTAAGAACTCCTCTGTGTAATATGTTAAATATCCTTATCACCGAAATGAAAATTGCAATTCAACTGCACTACGACAATATATGATTTTATAACTCATTTAGGACACTTGATCCGAATCAAAATGGTAATGCCCTAGGATGAAGCGTCAGAACGTCAGAACATTATCCTTAGTAGTCTGTACCTTCACATATTTACTTATTGGTGCAGCAGTATTTGACTCTTTGGAATCGAGGACAGAGGCGAAACGATGGGAATTCCTGCAAGGTAAAATATAAAACATTTTTGCTAAATTGTCTCTTATCTTTTGTTTGATATTATTATTTTTTCCTTTGTGACGAACGGATTTTGAAAATCGGGAATACATACTAAATAACATTTGGGGGTGGTTTTGTGATTGTTAGATTCAGTAATTAATATTATATCAATATGTGGCTGAAACGTCTTCAGATTTGTATTTAGGAAGTAATAGAAACTATAATCAGCAGTAGCCTAGTGCTTATCGATATGTGAGGACTTGGGTTTGATTGCATTGTGGTAAACCTTCTGCATGAAATGACAATAATTTTAAGCGTATTTTTTTTGCATAAAATAAAAATTCATCAGACTGCGGCGGCTATGAACAAACTTTAAATCTATTTGTTGGATAAAGATCAAGACACGCAGACCACAAATATTAGAAAGAGCTCAGCCAAAAAGTAGATCGTATTTATACCACAACTTGATAACAAATTTTATTGAACCAAGTTTAATGAAGTAAAAAAAAACAGTAAAATTTACAACGAAGAATTCAATTTTATATATTGGTTTGATGCCAGTAAGCATTAGGAAGCATGACCTAATGTTGACCTTAAACGGGGTTAGGTTGCCGAAAGAATGACACCCGGCCATTGAGAGACATTTTAGGAGCAAAATGCTGTTAGTTTTAGTTTATATGCTCAATAGCTTCTAAATGAGAGTGTCACCCGGTTGAAAAACGTGGTGTAGAGTAAAAGACGGTTAAAATTTTTGTAAGCAAAAGAGAATTTAGTATGCTTGAGGATGTGTTGTCTTCGCAGCCGAATATATCATGACCACCAGTTAAGTAAATTACAGAGCAGGCACAGTACAGGTCAAAACGCTGGAGCCTGGACCTTTGCGAGTTTAAAGCCTTCAGCCGATTGAGACGTTAAATCTTTCATAGTGCCAGATCAAATTTACGTAGGTGGGCTATCGTGGTTGGAATAAATTATCAACCGAAATGTTCCCAAAAGTGTGTATGACGAGCTTTCAATTTATGACAGAAATACATTTTTACATTAGTTGAAACTCAATAAAAAAAAAAACTACAATATATAATACATATATTTTTGACAACACAAGAGTAGCAACAGCGTTAAATAAGTTTGTGACCAAAAATTAACAAAAAATGCGAAAAGCTAGCTTTCGATGGTTTTTATTTACCACTGCGAACAAATTTTTTGGGTAATAACTGCCACTCCTGTTAGTTTTCAAGATGAGCAAAGCGAATGTACATATTGCTTAGAATAACCTCTATTAATGTAGATTAGAACCGGGTGTGGAATAGTCACATTGTGTTGTTATTCTGTCCACACCAACATTTTGGTTTTGTTTTAGTTATATTATATATTGTATACATTTGTAATTTTTTGATTCCTGGTTTCGATGTTTTCTAGGTGATTTCTTCTTTTCTATAAATTAAACGATCTGTTACCAATTAAAATATTATAATATGTACATAATTCATTCTTAATTTATACACATATCTTATGTATGTACTCGTATTTATTTCGAGGTTACTTTTAATATTTCCAAAATTTTAAAATAAAAAAATCAATTATCTAATAATCTATTTACATAAAAATTAAAAAACTATCTACGTATAATATGCTGCTTTTACATACAACGCCTTGCATATGAGGCATCACATCTTATACTCGAATACTCATGCATACATATGTATATGCTTTGGCAAATAAAGCGGTGAAGAGCAATTTTGTTAAAAAGTATAATGTCACCGCTGAAGACTACCGTATGATGGAAATAGTAATTATCGAGAACAAGCCGCACAAAGCCGGACCACAATGGAAGTTCGCCGGTGCATTTTATTTTGCCACTGTGGTCTTGGCTATGATTGGTTATGGGCATTCAACACCAGTGACAATTGGTGGTAAAGCTTTCTGCATGGCATACGCAATGGTAGGTATTTATACATATATGAAGTTGCAATATATATAATGGCGCTTTGAAACCACTCAAGCGATTTTCGGCCGACCTCCTCCGCCAATTTGTGCCTTTTAGTCTTGATGTGTTTCCAACAAATGGAGGGACCTACAGTTTATACAAAGCCGCCTCCGAACGGCTGATGGTTTTTTTTTATGAGGAGCCTTTATTTCATTTCAGATATACTCTCAGAGTGGTTGATATTCCCTTCCGAGAGGCGACTGCAGTTGGAAAATGTAACTTATTTTTTTATTTCAACCAGAGCCTTCCGAGTGACAATACGCAATTTTTATGTTTTCTTCATAAAATTTACAGAGATTTTTTCCTCAAAAAATCCTAAAACAATTGAAATCACAAACTGAACGCTTTTGTAGTATTCTCTTGACCCTTCAAACATTGAGAATAGAACGGAGCAACCCGAGATTATATAAGAATGAAAACTTTAACTTCCCAAGTTATTGATTCGAAATTTCACATTGTCGGTTTAATATCATTTTAAAACTGCAAAAAAAAATTATAATTTAACGAATATAAATAAATTTTTGCGAAATTATTTATAATTTTTAAATTTAATTTTATTTATACAAATAAAAAATAATTATTTTTCAATGTTTTTTTATAAACCGAAATAACTATTAGGATCATAATTTTTAAATATATTACATCTTAATTCGGTTATTAACAATTTAAGCACAAAAAATACTCTTTCCACAGAAATCTGGGTAGCATGTACACACTGTGCCTGTCGTCAAAACCGTGGATATGTGAATTTTTGGTCTTTCAGTAACTCATATTTTAATTTTTTTATTTCAATTTTTTTTTTTATAATAATAAGATCATGCTATTTATTTTTTGATTGAGTTGATATTTATATTACATTACAATATATTAATTATCTTTTACTTTTATTATTTGAAATTAATTTAAAAATAATTTTTTTTAATAAAAACTGGGAAAAAAATAATATCGTTTTCGAATTCTCTGATTATAAATAAAACTTTCCCCCCAGCCTTCTTTGCGATTTGATTTTTTAAACGCGGTTTTGCGGTACTTAATTTGAACATGACTGATTATGATTAAATTTGATTCAAATTTACGGCCGAAAAGTCAAAATTCAAGAAAGAAGAATTAAGGGAGACTTATAATAATAATAAAAGCTCCTCATAAAGATCCCTCGGCTGTTTGGAGGCAGCTTGGTATAAACTTTAAAATCCTGCATTTCAAAATTTAGACGCAAATCACAAATTACAGGAGGGGCTCGGCGTCAGCGATTGCAAAGTTCAATTTTATATATTGTACAACCAGTAGACCAGTGTAGATAGTATAAATCTGTGTGTGAATTATTTGAACGAACTCGACCAGCAGAAAGCAACTTGTTCTAGGCAAGCAAGAACAAACAACAAAGATGGTTTGTCAGCCCGCGAACATGGGAATTCTCATAAAATCACTTAAATTAAACTAAGCGGTTTCAGATAATAAAAGTTCAAGCAGCCCATACTAACGAAAATAACAACAAAATTCCAGCAAGTTGAACCATAATTAAGATTGTTAAGAACCAGTTTCTGTATGTTAAACTAAACGATAAGCTACCAACAAATTAAATTTCAAGTAAATCGAATCGTAATTAAGATTACCTCGCACGAATCGGTCCCCGAGATTCCTTACTAAAGTTGAATTTTATTTCGGTACAGCCGTTATCAATTCTGGTAAAACTATAAATTGTTTACAACATAAGGGTTTCTCATTGAGCGAGAACGTATATGTACTAAAAATTAACCACACCCTCGTTCTGAGAGCTATTTTTTCTCTCACTTGGATACAATATTCTTTGAAATGACAATTGTTATAGCGCACGCTATGGAATTGCTCTGCTTTTAGGCACGTAAATGTAAGGCAACAGAAGCCGTATACGCATGAGCGATTTTTTCGAATAATTCGGTCTTAGGTACTATTCCTGGAAACATAAATAATGTATTTGCTAAACTAAGCAAAAGTCTACCTTTGCATCAAATTTCAAGTAAATCGTACTATAAGTGAAAAATAGATGTTCTGATTTTCTCAGATCTACTGAATATGTACATAAAATTTATTTTTAGGTTAGGTAAATTAATGAGATTTGTTTACCTCAGTATTGTTAGCTTAATTAAAAGCGAAACAGGAATACGAAAGCACATAGGCATCTTCGTACGTTTTATACGCTTAGGGAGAGGTTCTACTATATAGTTTATCATTTAATAACACTAATATTTAAAATAAACGATGCATTAAAATGATACCGTTTCAGGTAGGTATTCCTTTGGGTCTCGTCATGTTCCAGTCGATCGGAGAGCGCTTAAATAAGTTCGCATCGATAATAATACGTCGTGCGAAGCGTTATATGCACTGCACCCAAACCGAGGCCACAGAAATGAACCTGATGTTAGCGACGGGTATGCTCTCCTCTATTATTATAACCACTGGCGCAGCAGTCTTTTCGCGCTACGAGGGCTGGAGTTATTTCGACAGTTTCTATTACTGCTTTGTGACGCTCACAACCATCGGTTTCGGTGACTATGTGGCGTTGCAAAACGATCAGGCGCTGATCAATAAACCCGGCTATGTTGCGCTCAGTTTGGTCTTTATACTATTTGGACTTGCAGTAGTTGCCGCTAGTATCAATCTGCTGGTGCTGCGCTTCATGACAATGTAATGGGAATATGTTAACACATATACATACATATATATGGCACACAAAGTTTATATTAAGTTATAAATATACATGACGATACCTAGACGTCATTATGTGTATGTAAAAAGTTCATTATGGCGGCTAGCTTATATAAGATTGTATAATAATTACTTACAATCTTAGATATGTATCGCTATGTATTTATAATAAAAAAGTATTTTTCTTAATAAATTCAACCCTGCTCTTTTAGGCAAGCAGAGGACGCCAAGCGTAATGAACAGGATGCTCAACAGGCTGCTGCTGCTGCTTTCTCTACTCAACAGCTCGCTTATGATGTGGAATCGAGTAATTTTAATATGCATGGAAAGTTGTTGCCTAACTCAAATTACACCACTGATTACGACGAAACTTTATCAATTTGTTCATGTACATGCCTCGGCGGCGCAAGATGTTTAAACCATGAAACTTTCGTCGATCCTGATTTTCGCCCAACTGATATCATTGAAAGTACTTTGAGTTTAAAACGGGCGTCAGTTTAATATTCGCTCATGTTGTTAGTTAAATAATTTTACTACCCAAGTTTCTAAATAACATTTAAAACCAAATATATACATATTTAGAATGAACCAGCGAAATTAACTTCAAAATCCATCGAAATTAACCAACCAGTACAATCTATTATTTTACAATTTCATTTAAGCTCGCCTAATGCAATACAAATATAGTAAAGTCAATAATTGTGTGGATTATTTGTTGATATTAACCTCTATTATCAGAAATAAAAAAGTTAAAATAACAAATTTTAGGATATTTAAATATCATTTAATTAAAGACGAAAGAAATTGGCTTGTAAAAATACATAAAAGCTCCGTTCCACTCTTTTTTTCCGCACAAACCACAATCACAAAATCACACTTTTGAAGAATTCAGGATTACAAATAGAAAATGAAATGAAACTTAAGCAACATTGCGCCATTCAATTCGTGAAGTTCTTGTTAGTATATTGGATGCGTAATTTAAATAGCAGTCGTGGACCAATATATATATTAACGGCACGGCAGCAGTACCTCTGTGTAAAACTATTATTTACATTTGGGTCCTGGTCGAACCAACACAGGCTACAACACAGGTACAGTACCTTATTGTTTGCGAATTTTGGTGGCTGTTGTGTTTTTTTTTTCACTGTTCCATAGAACATTTTTTTTTATTATACACAATTCATTTATTTACTGCTATAATATAAGCCTAATAGTAAGTGTACAAATCTTAAAAACCAAATTACGAACATGATAGCTCGAGTTGTTTAACTCTGAGCGCTTTTCAAACTGCGGCGCTCTCCTTAGAAGGCGGGAGCATCTCTTCGTTGCAGGCGGGAATTTCTCGATACGCTGCATAAAGCATTAGCTAGTGATTTTCGATGATTTCTCAGCTTTGTGAAGCACTTCGTCCTGCTTCTTTCAATTTCAGGCTTAACCAGTAAAATACCAAAGTCTTTATGAATATTTACGTTAAGGACGTACCATGGTGCGCCCGTTAGTGCTCTTAAAATTTTAGACTGGAACCTCTGTATTTTATCAATATTAGTTGCACAGGTCGTACCCCACAGTTGAATACCGTACATCCAAATTGGTTTTAATACTGCTTTGTAAATAAGGACTTTGTAGTCTAGTTTTAGACCGGAGTTTTTTTTAAGCCAGTTTAAACTAGCTGCTTTTAATTTCATGTGTATTTATTTTTGCCTCTATGTGTCTCTTTCAAGTGAGACGTCTATCTAAGTGAATTTTTTCAAATAATTTTGAAAGACTGGGTAGTAGACTTATTGGTCTGTAAGCAGCCGCCTGTGTGTGGTCTTTACCTGGTTTGGCTATCATTAATATCTGCGACTTTTTCCACGCGTTTGAAAAGTAATTTAGTTTTAGAATGGCATTAAAGAGTTCATAGAGCAATACTTGTGCAACTATTGGTAGCTCTATTAGCATTTTTGATGTAATGAGGTCGTGGCCTGGAGATTTCTTTGGATTCAGTTTCTGAATCGCGTTTACCACTTAGGCTTGATATTTTAATTGCCACCTGATTTTCCTGGCCGTTAACAGCAAATTCTGGCAAAATAAAATTATTAGTTGCGTCATTTGGCTGGAATACATTATTTAAATGCTTTGCAAAGCAATTTGTCTTTTCTTAGCTACTATGTGTCCATTTACCATTTGGGTCTCTGATTGGCCTATTAATTTCTATTGGAGGCTAAAATTTCTTTTGTGCTTTCCAGAGTGAGTATTTTTTGGCAGAAGTTGGCTCTAGGTTTTCTATGTATGCCTTGGCATTGTGATCTTCTGATTGTTTCAGTGCACTTTTCAGCTTCCTCTCTGCTGCTTTCAATCGTAACTTTGCTGCTATTCTATTTCTGAATTTGTTAAGAGTTTTGGGCACGTAGTAGGCTTTTTACTTTTTGGAGTTGTTATGGTTTCCGCTGAAACAAGGACATTATATAGCTCATTAATGTAGTCATCAATATCGTTTTCACAATTCAATATTGGTTTAGGGGGGTAGAATTTGAACCCAGGTATATAAAAATTACATTTATCCGTCAAGTGCGTTTCAGACAATGGCATTACGTCTATATCATACTCTGTTAAGAATCGTGCCAATTCTAATCTATTGTATGTTGGTGCACAACGTTTGCATTCCATAAACAAATGTTTAGCACGCTTATTTTTTTTTTTTGCATGAAGATTTGCAGCATGTTATTCTGGCCTTTAATCAAGTCTTGGATCATGCTTTTATAGTTGACATAAACTGTGTCATGCACTGCGAAAGGTTTAAAATCATCGATTCTATACCTCCATTAGATTGGTTCTGTGGAATATTATCTGAATTGCTCTTCAGTACATTCGCATAAGATAATTTATTTCGATTCATATTTTGCACGTTTGGAACAGTTTTATCCGTAGCTTTTTCTACAAATTGTATTTGAGGAGTATTTACCATTTGACTTCGGCGAGTCTGTATATTATTTGCCAACCTAACTTTTAGATCTTTATATACAGGGCGGCCCCTATAATAGGCAGTGTGGTTACCTCCACAATTACTACATTTTTTTATGGTGGCATCATCTTTCTTTGACGTGCATTCAGACGTGGGATATAGTGTGCAGCAAGATTTAGTATTTTTTTTTTTGCATTGCACTGGGCCGTGTCTTTTGCGTGGCTCTTCTACTGTTACCCTAGGATGTAGCAAATATGTTTAATTGTATATGGATGGGTTTCGTTTTTCTTTATCTGACTTGAATTTGGCTCTAGTTCTACCTTAAACATTGGCTGGGATACTTTATTTCTATTAAGTATATTTATAAGCAATTTAGTACAGAAACCATTTTCTTCAAGAGCCGCTTTTATTTCATCTGGCTTGACTGAGGATTCGATACCTTTAATTATAACTGTTAGGCCTTTCGAGCTCTTCAGTTGATATGAGTAATAATTTTTATTACTCGACGATATAAAACTTACTATATGCATGAAGCTTTTTTCATTGTAAATTTGAATTTTTGATTCATCGATTGCCGACTATTTTTGTAATATTATTAACTAACGTGCTTGAGACACGTTCGCGCAAGTATTGTAAATTGGCGGTGGTTAGGCATTTACATCTGTGGTAGTACCCTTTACGCTGTCCTCAGTTAATAAAGCAAATAGATTGCTACTGGAGGATTCTGGGATTTTTACGTTAGTTCCACTCATTTTCACTTTTTGTTGTTGGTGTTATTAATAGGACTTGATTTCCTCTTGATATTTATATATCGATCTAGTCCTTGTGTGTTCTTCTTTATCTCATTGGGCTTACCGCTTGCCCGTTCCTTTTCATTTGTATTAGTGGGCGATTTCCTCTGGGTGTCTGCTTGCTGTTACCTTTTTTCTCTTGTTTTTCTGCCGAATTCTCCGTCCGTTGCGCTAGCTGACTTACCAGCCGTCCATAAGTGGGGACGAAAAGGCGAGATAAACACACGAGTTATCGACGCCGCTGAGAGCGGAGAAATGTTGCCAGCTGCCTGTGTGTTTGCACACTTTTGAACAAATTCATAATTTTCGTCAACAAATTTCATAATTTATTTGCTTTAACATAAACACAAGGCAAATACACATAATCTATATGGTAACAAATAATTAGTTACGCATTTATTTTTCATTTCTTTTGAAAAAAACTAGGCATTTTCTTCGATCATTCAATGTTACTTTAAGAAAGGCTATACTGGCAACGAACGAAAAATGAGCCGAGCCGGTTTTACGGAAAAAATCAAAACTTCGTTGGTTTCTGCGGAACAACCGTCGCTAACGGTATGGGCAAGCGGTGACAACTTTGTGTTTACATGGCGCTCTCATAAGATAGGTTACTATGAACGGCTGGTACGCGCGTTGGGTAGTTGCAGCCTTAGGTCGCTTTGTTGTTTTTTAAGCGGGTGATTGCTATTCGGATTTCTTCATAATCGGGTAATGGAACAACTTTTCTATCGTCATTAATTAGAGTTTCTTCTCTGAGCGTTTCATTTTCACTGCCATTCAGCAGGATGGAGAAATGTTCCCTCCATAGATTCAGTATACTCTGGGCATCTGTCACTAGCTTACCACTCTACAAGAGTTTGCTCCGGTCTTGAAACCTTCCGTAAGTCGCTGTATCTATTCGTGGAATTTTCGAGCATTACCCATGTCGGCCAGCTACAAGCACTTTATACTCACGCATCTCGTCCTCTTTCTTGTTTTGTCTGCATATGCGTCTTGATCCCCTCTTCAGCTCTCGGTATCTATTCCACAACGCACGTGTTGTGGTCGATTGCAAGGTTGCGAGGTAGGTAGTCTGTTTTCTCTCCCGTGCGACCCAGCAGGCCCCATGTTACAAGGCTGCAATCCTTTCGAAAACCAATAGTTTCGTTTGCAGCTGTACGTAGGGAGTTTGAAAAGAGAGCAGGTGTGCAAAACGAGTAGAAAACAACTTTTCAACGTCGAACCTTCCTTGTGTTTGTTGACGGGCGTTTTTGAGTATATTCCATATGACAAGTTTGTGATCCGGGTCGAGTCGAAAATATCATAAAAACATAATCACAATCATGAAAGCTATGCTTTTGTACCCTTTTCTTTCGCTTGTTATATTCAAGGGACCATTATTAAAAACACTTTCTATTTTGATCTTTAAATAACGGTTGTTTAGTGAGCAGTTGGTCAAAAACGTTGCTTAAAGTTATTGCTACGTGAGAGATAATTGTACTGTGATCAACTGAAGACTGAAAGAGAAACATAATAAAATGGTAACTAAATTCACCAAAAATGAATGTGAGAGATTTAAAAAAATATTTTGATAGTCATTTATACTGGCATACAAGGGCGTGCCTTGAAGGGGTTTCTACTGGACACACTGGTACTGGGAATTTTAATAACTTTGAAGCTAAAATACTCCCATTTTCATTTGTAGCTTTTCGTCAAAGTAACAATATATATATATTTCAAATAATGTATCAAAAATTTTCCATATAAGCATATTTTGAAAAGATTTTAGTCAGACGGGAACGTGTTAAAAATTAGTTTTTCAAATTGCATAACTTATCCAAGGATCAGTAACCAACTATAATATTTAAAGTGTGAATGGAAATTCACAGTATCTTCGACTAAAGAACTGCAGTTGGATCCGATAGTAAATTGAGAAGCGGTAAAACCTTAAGTAAAGTCCAAAACTTTTTTGTTCTAAATACATACAAATGTACGTTTCAAATACTTCTTTTGAATTTCTATCTTGCATCAATTTTCTATCTAACCCAATTTTTGGTTATTGATTTAAGTTTTTAGGACATTTCATACCAGTAGGAGCAGGTAATAAGATACTAACGGCGTATACGTAATTGAATCGGGAGATAATTTAAAAGATGCGCGAAATTGTGCATATTCAAGCTGGACAATGTGGCAACCAGATTGGCGGCAAATTTTGGGAAGTTATATCTGATGAACATTGCATCGATGCCACAGGCACTTACTATGGCGATAGTGATTTGCAGCTGGAACGTATTAATGTATACTACAATGAAGCGACAGGTGCTAAATATGTACCTCGTGCTATTCTGGTGGATTTAGAGCCAGGCACCATGGACTCTGTACGTTCCGGTGCCTTTGGTCAAATTTTTCGTCCTGATAACTTTGTGTTTGGACAGTCGGGAGCGGGTAACAATTGGGCCAAGGGTCATTATACTGAAGGAGCTGAATTGGTTGACTCAGTACTCGATGTTGTAAGGAAAGAGTCTGAAGGATGTGATTGCCTACAGGTATCGAATTGGTGCACTTGCAAGGTTTTCAAATTTTGTACTTACGATAAATGAATTACATTTATTTTAGGGATTTCAATTAACACATTCGCTTGGCGGCGGTACGGGTTCCGGCATGGGAACATTGTTAATATCGAAAATTCGGGAAGAGTATCCTGATCGTATAATGAATACCTTTTCGGTGGTGCCCTCCCCAAAGGTATCCGACACAGTCGTGGAACCTTATAATGCCACACTGAGTGTACATCAGCTGGTTGAAAATACGGATGAAACATATTGCATCGACAATGAAGCTCTATATGACATATGCTTTCGCACATTGAAACTTACTACCCCCACTTATGGCGATTTAAATCATTTAGTCTCTGCAACAATGTCCGGAGTTACGACTTGCTTACGATTTCCGGGTCAACTTAATGCAGATTTGCGTAAGTTGGCTGTGAATATGGTACCATTTCCACGTTTGCATTTTTTTATGCCGGGTTTCGCTCCACTGACTTCTCGTGGCTCGCAGCAGTATCGCGCACTTACAGTGCCTGAATTGACACAACAGATGTTTGACGCCAAGAACATGATGGCTGCTTGCGATCCTCGTCATGGACGGTACTTAACAGTGGCGGCCATTTTTAGAGGTCGCATGTCTATGAAGGAGGTTGACGAACAAATGCTGAATATTCAAAACAAAAATAGCAGTTTCTTTGTTGAGTGGATTCCAAATAACTGCAAAACTGCTGTTTGTGATATTCCTCCTCGCGGTTTAAAAATGTCAGCGACATTTATTGGCAATTCAACAGCTATACAAGAATTATTCAAACGAGTTTCTGAGCAGTTCACAGCAATGTTCAGGCGCAAAGCTTTTTTGCATTGGTATACTGGCGAAGGTATGGATGAAATGGAGTTCACCGAGGCTGAAAGTAATATGAATGATTTAGTATCTGAATACCAACAGTACCAAGAAGCCACCGCCGATGAAGAGGGCGAGTTCGACGAGGATGAAGAAGGAGGAGGGGATGAATAACAGTTCTTGGTTTTGGAGATGGTAATAGGAAAAAATCTCTATATCTTTACTTAATTAATATTATTATGCGCTCCTCACAATTGTAAAATCCAATTGTAGCTTTTTGTTCACTTCTCAGCAAGTATTTTGTATTATGTACTATTTGCTTTTCTTGTGCGCAAGTATACGCTTTTAGTAAAATTTATTTTTCATGACTTTTTTTTAACAATTTGTGCATAGAAACAATCTAATTATACAGAATTATGTCCAGATCACTTTTACAAAATTTTATAATTTTTTTTTCAAATATTCGTTTTAAGTACGTTAGACACATACCCGGGTTCCCGCGTGGGATCCCTATTTATTAATAGTCTGTGGCTTTTTTATTCAAGGCAGAATTGACCACTTTTCTAGTTTGAAGGGTGTGCGGGCGATGATTTCTTTCTAAAGTCTCCACATTTTTGTTTATATCAATCAATACATTTGATCACTCTTGTGTCTTTCTCTCTCAAAGAAAGATATTTACTGCCCTGCAAGAATGGGCTGATGGGCTCACCAATACACTCACACGACTTCGGGCAGCACTAACACATATGCACATTTTTTGGTTTATCTTTCTCTTCTGAGTAAATACAAATTGATGAAGAATGCAGTTGAATGGATTATCCGATTTTCTTTGTTCTTTTTTACGAGTAGAACGCCATTTTTTATCGTTTTCTCCGCAGTAGATAAAAGTGAAAAATACTGATCAAGATCCTGTACAAGCTATGGTAATAATATATTTTGGATTAATTGAGTACTTAATTTTGCATTGCTTTTTACTTTTAAGGACACTCCAGTTCGACTGTAATGGACGCTTCTCATCTTGCTGCAGTAGCAGATTTAAAAATATTCAATAAAACTGTGCAAGGTACAACTGCATTTAGATATTAACATTACTATTCACACATAATTTTTTCCACTTAGATGTATTTATACTTCAAAAGAGCTGCGATTACGACGGAGGCGTTTTATTTTTTTGTATGCTATATAAACCATGTAAATGATCTACATAGGTAAAATATTCGAATAAAAACTGAATTTTAATAATGCTTGTATGTATTTATATATCTAGGGAAAATTTTTGTCAAAGATGATTTTCTTCGGCATCAATGCTGTCGCTCGTATGTGTTCGGCTTTTACGGCACAGCTGCTGTTTTTTATGAATATACATAAGTAATTTCTATGCCTAGACGATTAAGTAAAAAAGACAAAAAAACATTTTAATTTTACCCCAGCTTGGGTGTACTCAGGATCCTTATATATATTTCGCACTTTTATCTATACATTTTGAAATCGAACAATTTTACTCTCCCAAAGAAAGAAACTTACTGAGTTATCACAGAACAGGATTCAATAAAAATTAGCCAGATAGTTGCCCAATTGCTGTTTAGTTTGGCGGTTACATTCGAATTGGTTCACTTACAGTTAATTTTTCTGCTTTTAAGTATTTTAATGAAATTGGCAATTATGTGACATTTTCAAGTTATTGATTGTATTCAAAATTTATTGCACTTCAACAATGATGAAATACTATGTTTTTTCTAATAGTACTCTAAAAAAGACGAGGATTTATGTAGAACTTGCTTTGCAACACTTTGTCGCTTAGGTTTTCAGTAAGGATGATTTCTTTTTTAATAAAAACCAAGCATATTATTTTTTTTAATTTTAAATGCGAATAACATTTCATTTTGTGCATCGTCGACGATTCCGGAAACTTTACTTCGAATTTTTTATGCGGTTCCTTTGGTCGCCACTGCTTTCTAGTAAATTATAGACATCAAAAATCAACCGTTTTACTTACTTACTTTACTGACGTAGACACCGCTTACGCGATTGACGACAGTGCGCCATTCGTTTCTTCTTTTTGCTGTTTGGCGTCAATTGGAAATATCAAGTACATCCCGGTCCTTCTCTACCTGGTCTTTTCAACGGAGCGTATGTCTTCATCTTCCTCTGCTTCCACCGGCGGATACTGCATCGAAAACTTTCAAGGCTGGAGTATCCGCATCCACACGGATTCCCTGAACTATATCAATCTCGCCGTATAACTCGTATAGCTCATCGTTCCATCGTCTGCGGTATTCGCCGTTGCCAACGCGCAAAGGACCATAAATCTTACGCAAAACTTTTCTCTCGAAAACTCCTAGCGCCGTCTCATCAGATACTGTCATCGACCATGATTCCGCACCATATAGCAGGACGGGAACGATGAAGGACTTGTAGAGTTTGGTTTTCGTTCGTCGGGAGAGAAATTTTTTTGAATTGCCTACTCAGTCCAAAGTAGCACCTGTTGGCAAGAGTTTGTAGAGTTTGGTTTTCGTTCGTCGGGAGGGAAATTTTTTTGAATTGCCTACTCAGTCCAAAGAAGCACCTGTTGGCAAGAGTGATTCTGCGTTGGATTTCAAGGCTGACGTTATTATTGGTGTTAATGCTGGTTCTTAGATAGACGAAATTATCTACAACTTCAAAGTTATGACTGTCATCAGTGACGTGGGAGCCAAACTTACTTCCGTCTATTTTTACAGTAATTCCCACGCCACCTATTTCCTTTTCCTTAACCACAAACTCGTGCCGACTACTTAGTTCAGCCCCCGCGATTATGTCGTTTTGGCTTATATTTCTTCACGATATAAAGGAGATGACGATTATTCGTAAAATCTTTTAAGGCATCTACATACAAATATTTATTATTTTCTGTAATTTTAAATTACTTCAATTTCTTACCGCAATGCGTATCCATCAAAAGCATAGGCACATTTAAATGTATTTAGGTCGTGTACATTAGGGCATAAATATGACCCTTTTGCAGGAATCAAATTGCAAAAAATTAGCAGCTGTGTTACTTCTACCAATTTTTGTGTTTTAACGCATTTTGTATATTTTTCTGAAACGCAAATTTTAATGTAAAACGAGTAATTAGTTTTTTTCAGTGCTTGATTTTTCCAGGGAGGAGGTTCAGAGGGTCATCGGGAAGGCGAAAGCATCCAAATCCATCGACCTCGACGGAATAAGCATGCTGATGCTCAAACACCTAGGATCAGCGGGAGCAGAATTTCTCACGAGGGTCCTCAATTTGTCGGTTGACCACCCTAATGATACCCGATTAGTGGTCCCGCTACTCAAACCGGGGAAACCAGTCAACAAAGAAGAGTCCTATCGGTCGATAACTCTCCTCTCTCCAGTAGCGAAAACACTTGAGGCCCTGAGGCCTTGAGGCAGTAACACTAGGCAGCCTGCACTCCTTCACTCCGCATACGACCGCAATTGCCGCAGAACTCCAGAGCCGCAACAAAATACTCAAAGCGCTAGCTGGCAGCGCTAGGACGGCGTACAGACAAGCACTAAACGCCATTCACCAGGAGTCAGTCAACAACTTCAAGGACTCCCTTCCAATGAATGGCGTGCTCGGATAAAAACCACCACCTATAGAGGACAACGATCTCGAGCTGCCTCGAGAGACCCGCGTGACCCTGACACAGCTTAGGATTTGACATTGTAACAGGTCAAACTTCTACTTATACAGACTAGATCCCAGCATACCCAACGTATGCCCTGCATGTGGAGAGTCTCCATACCCTCTCAAACCAACTCATCTAACCTCCCTTTCCCTTTGGTCCAACCCCGTCGAAACAGCTCGTTTCCTGGACCTATCACTAGATGACCTCAGCGCCTTAGACTGATCAAACCTGTGCCTAAGCGAGGTAAGGCAACAACAACCCAAACCCCCCTGCGGGTTAGGGGCTCAAGAATTTACCCGCGGTAAGGCATGCCTGTCGTAAGAGGAGACTAAAATCCAATAGTTCCCGCGACAGTCGGGTCTTTATACCGGAACGACCCGGATTTTTATCCGGCCAAGGACTGTCACTCCCGCAACATTCCCCAAAAAGTACTTTAGGGAATAATTTTGCGGTTACAACAACAACAACAACAACAACAACAACAACAACAACCCAAAAACCCATTTTGGTACTGCGTATTTTTTACTGACAGCTATGGTAAAGTACCCGTAACCGTTATTATCTCATTTACTGCTATTTAAAAACAGGTATGCTATAATTTATGTGAATTTATACATTAAATTAATATTATTATTAAGTATTTTTTTATTTCTGGCGATTTTTATATATATAATTTGCGCTTTATAACAGCTGAAACGATTTTCGGCCGGGGTCCTCCTCCTGTGGTATGCGTCTCGATTTTATTTCCAACAAATGGAGAGTCACATAATTTATACTAAGCTGTTTTCGATTGACTGATGGTATTTTATGAGGAACTTTTTTTTAACATTTTCCATATATTTTCATAAATTTCTTTGCAACACACTCTTCGCACATTGAAAATTATATTTTTATTCCATTAACCGATCGGTCGGTTGTACAACGATTTTATATAAGAAAATATGTGTTCTTAATTAATTATATATTAACTATAAAAAAATTTAACAGTATAAAACCCATTTATATTAACTTAAAATCTCTTTCCCACTAACAAAAAATAACTTTTTCACACTTTACCCTGGGTGCACAAAGTAAATCATTTTAACAAAGGCGATGAGAAAATTTCATATAGATTAAACTTGTTATAAAATTATAAACTAATACCTGGTTCGAATGTATTCACTATGATACAAATTTATTAATAGTTTTAACTAAGTGGCGTCCGTTCACTAACACACTTACCCTAAGTGCAAAAAAAGACAATTTTATACATCTTTCTTGTAAATTTTTACTGAATCCCGAGGTTGTGTTTTTCAAAGCAAAATTAAAAAAAAAAACGTGCTCTCATCTTTATGAATTCTCCTTGATACTGTTCGATGAAAGCCAATGTACTCTAGAAAATTTCTTTTTCTTTATGAGAATAAACCAGAGAACGTATATTAAAGAGAAGTGCCGATTGCCATTTTAAATACAATTTATAACTTAATTGCATTTATTTCAAACAAGATACTATGCACTTTATCGGTCGGCAATTGAGTTAATTTTTCAGTAAATATTTACCATTTTATTTGCAAAAAACAATTTGCTTGTCAAATTTTGTGTTTATTTTCGTACAAAGACGTGTGTTCCACATAAGATGAGTTCATTTTTTGTGTGAATTTGCCTTGTTCTACATATTAAAGTGAACAATCGTGGCGTATTCTGCCGTTACGTATTCTTATGTATACATGAATGTAAATGTATTCACCTACTTGTAAACAATAAAATATAATTGGGCGAATAACTATTTTTTGAGATAAGTCATTTATGAGCCAGTTAGCAGGAGGTATGTATATTGTGTTCATATTTTTAAATATATATTGATGTTCGTTATTACGTGATATATATAACAGGGATCATGCGTTTAGTACTACTTCAATTGAAGGGTGTTAAGGACAAAACGTCGAATGTTCTTAATGCTGTTTCCAAAATAAATCAAGTGGCTCAAAAATACAAACCACGTTTGGTGGCACTGCCAGAATGTTTCAACTGTCCATATGGTACCAAATACTTTAGGCAGTATTCTGAACCGATACCCGACGGCTTCACATCGCAAGAGTTGTCCGCAGCAGCAAAAAATCATGGTATATACATAGTTGGTGGAACAATACCTGAATTGGATGAAAATGGTTCTATTTACAACACATGTACGATATGGGCCCCAAATGGAAATTTGATTACAAAATATCGTAAAATGCATCTATTCGATATCGACGTTAAAGGAGGAATCCGCTTTAGGGAATCGGAAACTTTGGCAGCTGGTAGCGATTTTACGGTAATAGATATAGAAGGTCATAAAATTGGTATTGGAATCTGTTACGATATGCGATTTGAAGAGTTAGCTCGCGTGTACAGAAATGAAGGTATTTATTTAATTAAAACAAGAAGTACATTTAACAACCTATCTTGTTGAACTGAAGGTTGCGAGATGTTGATATATCCTGGAGCATTTAATATGACCACTGGTCCTTTGCACTGGGAGCTCTTACAACGCTCTCGTGCAAACGACAATCAGTTGTATGTTGTAACTATATCACCAGCTCGTGATGAGGAAGCCGAATACATAGCTTGGGGCCATTCGATGGTGGTTGATCCATGGGGACAAATTTTAAAGAGTGCCAGTCATGGTGAAGATATAGTTGTTGCTGATATAGGTAGAAATATTTTTTCCCCAGATTTTAACAAGTGCTAACACTTACGGGTATATCTGCGTATATTAGGGTGTTCTTATTTATTAAACTGATTTTTATTACTTGCGCACACCCGATTCTTATGTTTATACCTTAAAAGGAAATTTAACCCTAAAATCAACTTTTTATATTCATATTAAACTGTGAATGATTTTATTTATATGTAGATAAATGTTTTCAGTTTTAAGATTCTCCTAAGATATAAACTTAAATATTAGGAGAATGCTAACATAGTAACTTCACCTTGATAAATTTTCCCTGAACCTGGTATTATAAATAATTGATACCATAACGAATATGTATTCATTTATTGTTTTGAACTAATTCCAGACTTTGAACTCGTGAAAGAAGTACGCACTCAAATCCCGACCTTTAAACAGCGGCGTTTGGACATGTACACAACAAAAAGACAATAGTCAATGGAATTTATCAGAGATGTACACGTACATATATGCATTTATAGTTAAATACTTTGTTGATTATAATGTTCTAAAAAAATGCAAATTTGTGTTATCCCAAAAAAAAAAAAAACAAAAAAATAAATACATTGTACTGGTAGGAGAAACTCATATTGTGAAAACGTACACAAATTTTTATTATTATATTTTGTACACGTTTATGTTGGAGACGCTACAATAACTAATTGGTTAGCTGTGCGTACAGCTGTACAGATCATGGGTTCGAATTCTGTCTAAGTCAGCTTCAAAATTGTAAAAAAAAAATTAATTTTTTTTTCTAATTTCGTTAGCGCCTTGGCAATGATTATCAACACCTCCGAGTGTATTCCGACTTGAAAAAAATGGCCAACCATCAGTCACTACTGTTCGAGCCTTTTAGTCTTGACGAAGCAGGATATTTTCACTACGAAGATTGAATCTTAATATCGTTAAACCTATGTTGTCAGAATACAATTCGTTAATTTTGCATCTTAATTGACTTCATTTAGTTCTCCTATTGCTGTAATTCATTTACGGCTACGTCAGAATCATACCAAAAATTTTAATAACTATTTAACTTAAAACTCTTCAATACCACTTAATTTAATTAAATATATATACATATCTTTATAACTATAATTGAAATATTATTTTCATATAGCATTAAATATATATACAACAACTTAGTTGCACTCCTTTTCCACCTTTCAGCGTTTTTATTGCCGTAACCAGAAATCGAAAATAAAAGTGTGTCAAAATAACTGTTAACATGCGCTATGCACTATTATCCTGGAATGGAATTAGTGCTTAGACGGTTTGTGAGTGGTTGTTTCATAGAATTTTAAATAAATAATTTTTGGACGATTTAATATATGTGTGGACATACATAGTACGTTTGCAACACGTCGTTCATGTATGTATTTATTTTTTCGGGCTTTAATAATCTAGTGAACCCAGATTAGAAAAGCGGTCGCTGCCAAAGTATTTTTGCCTAAGAAATATTTAACAGTTGATACATAATTGTTAACAGAAAACAAATAAAGAAATTATTCCTTGTTTTCAATCTCCGATTACAACCAAAATAATTTATTTGATGGTATTAACCTCCTTCCCCGCAGTTGTTTGAATATATGGCCGTTGAACTTGCTCAAACAAAGCTTTTATCGCATCGTCAGTAGCCATCAGTGGCTGACTAATAAATTGTAATGCCTTTACTGCATATTTTTCTGCATCAGACAATGGATTTTTACTAGCACTCGAAATGTTTAGATCTCCTTCTGGTATCCCAAAGCCTGAATGCAATACCATTTGCTGTACTATATTTAAATTTTCTGCGCTGAGGCTGATCATATCGGTCGCTGGGAGATTTAGATAACGTATCTTTGCAACAAATTTAAGGTTTCTTAAAATTTCCAATTGCATTTCTCGAACCTGGTCCGTAGCGTGCAATAACCGCTTAACAGATTCATTTAGTATTTGGTTCTTATGAGTTAAGTCCGCTTTCCACCTCGCCAATTCTTCCACCATAACGCTACTTGCAAGAAATTTCGAACGCCATACTTCACATTGACCGGCTAGAAACTCAATTTGCTCCTATCAAACCAAAAAAATTCATTCATTTGCAAAGAATTGACGAATGTAAATTATATGCATATATGTATTTACTGTGTGTGTTGTTAAATTGTTTGCCGTATCCAGGAGAGCACGCGCCAGTTGCAGCTTATCTTCGGTGAGCCCATTTACATGTGTTTGCAAGTCTTCACCCACAGATGCTATTAATAAGTTTTTCAACTCAGAGTTAACTTGTGTCTGAAATCTGAACTGCCCTTGAAAATAATCGCGTTCCTCCTTAGTCCGTCTGAGATCTTCTGTTAATTTCTCTAGTTTTTGATCTAAGGCAGTGGAACTCTCAGTTTTAATGCGGTTTTTTTCATCTAGTTCCTGTGTACGTAAAGTTGACATTTGGCCTACCAGGATCCCAATATCCAAATTATTTTTATCAACCTTTTCTACTTTTGTGAGTTCTTTCTTTGTGACACCACTTGATACAATGGGAATTGTGGCTCCTGGATACGGTTCATATGGTATAAATTTGGGAACATTTGATATTTGATGTTTGCTTATGCGAGTTGCTGGCTTAGCTAAATGAGGTGTCATTTGTATAAGTTCACCTTTAGGCGTCACGGGAGCTAGGCGACGTGAACCACCCTCAGATCGCCGATACAAAGAATGCAAGCCAGGTAGTGGTAGTAAACTATTAGTTGAAGTTTTTCTATGGACATATTCTGCTACGTTAGCACTAGTTGCTCGGTGTCCGATTTGTCGATTCCCATCATTTTCATTTTGTATAACTATTTCTTTGTTGCCATTAAGCTGTTCTTCTTCCATCCCATCGCCCCTGGTGCGATGTCGTTCTAAATCACAAATTATGGACTCCATTTCTATTTGTACTTTGAGTCAACAATAATAAATTTTTTCCAATAGAAGTTTTTTTTAGATGTTGGAGTTTGTAAACTTTGACTGATATCGATATTCTCTTCAACTAAAGGCTGATTCACATAAAACCTATTACTGTAATAAGACTAAAGCCCAAAACACAAAAGCGGTGTGTCAGTGGTAGTGCCTTTAATGCAGCAGACTTTATGTGTTGAGTTTGACATACACGTATTTTTTGAGATACGTATATTTGTAGCGCAGTCAACTTCAAATGGAATTCAATTTGAATTTTGACAGCGCGTTATAGAATAAAGTTAGATAGAAGAAGGAGAAAGAAAAAAATACTGAAGAAGGGGAGAACAAATGGTGGAAAAATTTACAATCGCAATTTATTTTGCAGTTACGATGACAGATATTCACTGAAAAATTAAATCCACTAACATAAACACACCTTGTCGATTGAATTAATGTATATATGGGGAATATACTGAAGTGTAGTCAAATTTCTGGGTTGCTGTTTCAGTCGTGGGTAAAAGAGAGGGAGTTTTGACGCAGCCAATCCGACACATTCGGTTAAAGGGCTCGTAGAAGTCAAATTGTAGCGATTGTTCACCAGAATTTTGGCTGCGTGAGACTAAATGTCGACTTCACCGTTATCCAAAAACACTTCCCAAGTGTGCTGAATGGCAGTGAAAATTAAGATGGCGGGCTCGACTTTTCAATTGATGACAATAGCACAGATGTTTCATTACCCTACTATGAAAAAGTTCGAATGGAATAACAAAGTTCATACATAAAATTTTTTTTAGAATTTGGTCGAACGATAGCATACCCGACGATTTGAACCTAAATGCAATCTGCTCAACCCACAAAAAGGGGGACCCCACAGTTTGCGTGGGTGAGCTTTGTCCTATCGCACAATACGCTCGAGGGAAAATAAAGATCACCGTCAACAAACTGATTGCACTTTTAGACCTGGAAAATCTACAATTGACAAGATGTAAACCAACCGATAAATCTGGGAAAAGGCTCGCGAAAAGTAGATCTACAGCTGCTAGTCTACAAAGTCACTCATCATTCTAGTCCTGCTATATGGTGCCGATTAGTCGGCCTTGGAAGTTTTTGAGGGAAAGTTTTTCGAACGATTTATGGCCTTTAGTGCGTTGACAAAAGCGAGTACCATGAGTTGTACGAGATGTACGTTGACATTGATATACTTCAGAGAATGAGGAGACAGTGCCTACGCTGCCTAAGTCATGCCATCTGAATGAGTGAGAATACGCCAACTTTAAATGTATTCGATGCAGTACCCGCAGGTGGAGGCAGAGGAAGATTTTTGTAGCGCAGTCATATTCCCTATGATTATGACTTCGCAGGTAAGTCTCCTATTACCTTGGTGTGCTCACTACCCACCATATTTTCCTGAGGATATCTGGTGTTTGTTTCAAACATTCAAGAAGAAGGTGGATTAAGTAGGTCATCAGGTAACGACTATGCGTGTCTGCACTGCTAACAAAAAGACAGAAGCAGTGAAAGATTGCCAAGGCGCAGAATTTTTTATCGCTTGCGGAGTTTTCTTGCGCAACCGCTCGATTTCTCGTACACAGCTCTGAAACTTCGACGTGCTCTTACGATATACAGAATATTCGAAACACTAAAACACAAACATTGATTTGAAACCAAAGACTGGATGTATATTAAAGAAGAAAAAAATTAGATATTATTAAATAAGCTGGCATAATATTACTAATTCACTTCAAGATTTTGTTATCTCTTACTAAAATCTTTCATTTTCTATACGTTTTCAAATGGAACAACAAAGCGAAACCGAAAACTGTCAAAATGCGTACCGTGTGAACAGGGATAATTCGCTTTCATAATTGAGAAAGCGAAACACGTAATTGGGCTGTGGTGGAAATGTCGTATAAGTAGTTGAGTTTTATTATTTATCGACATATAGCAATAAGCAAAGCTAACGATAATCTTCCACCATTCCCAAATGGAATAGATATTTGTATACTTATTTTGCGGATATAATGTTTTTAGAAAACAAAAGAAACATTTTAGGCATCGCTGATCTGAGCTTTATTACCTATTTACTAATAATTTAAGTGGAAAAGTGTTGGACATAAAAAAAGTTAGGATGAGTAATAGGTTTCTTTAGAATAGTGTGTGACGTCAAGTGTAAATCTTCTCGTTCACATTGGCACCGGTGTTTTGTTATATTTAATTCCCTATATATAGATCAATATATAAACAGTGGTGGTTTTACCTGGTATTAAATACCAGTACTAAGAAAATAATAAAATAGTTGCGGGGATATTAACAAAAAACGTTGACTTGGCTTAATGTAAAAACTGTATTAATAACAATATGTCGTCTGAAAATATCGACAATGGAAACATCGAATTAATTGAACCAACGACTGGGAAACTATTTTTCGAACAAAAAACAGAATTAATTTTCTGCAAGCCGCATTTAATACCTTTGAAATCTGAGGCATTAGAGAGATTAGAAGATATGCAACGAAAGATTGCACGACAGCTGCAAGAGAAACGTGTAGAGGCTTCTAAAACAGTAAATCGTAAAGAAGTTGTTTAAAACAGTTAACGTAGAAAAAGTTGATACTCTTAATTAAATAATTGACTTACAATTTTATGTATAGTTTTCGGGGCATTCAAACTTAACGAATACAAGAATTCTTTGCCATTATTTGTTAAAAGTTTTGCTTCGAGATGGCACACTTACTTACTCTATCGGTATTAACATCTATATTGCTTGCTGGATATTTACTATTTCGTTATGGTAACATTCCTCATCAACATATCCTTGTAACTATATCGGTATTGACAGCCTGGTGTTTTTCTTTTCTTATTGTGTTTACAATACCACTTGATGTCACAAATGTAAGTAGGGCCTGTTAATAATTTTTCATTTTAATACTTTGACAATAATTTTTTCTATTCATTCTTTTAATAAAGACTTTGTATCGTCAATGTTTACAAGAGCATAACAGCAATGGTTTGTTAATTACATCTCCGAACCTGAATAACTTACATGTGGAGATTCTCCCAGTCGCTGGCACAGAATGTCAAGCGCCCTGGGGTATGATTCCAGACTCATTATTCCCAAATTTATGGCGAATTATATATTGGACATCACAATTGCTTACCTGGTTGATCATGCCGTTAATGCAGTCGTACTTAAAAGCTGGCGATTTTACAATCAAAGGGAAATTAAAATCTGCACTTATTGAGAATGCTATATATTACAGTTCCTATCTATTCATATGCGGGATTTTGCTAATATATATAGCAGCAAAAGGTGTATCTCTAGATTGGCAGAAACTCAAAGCCATTGCTTCTTCAGCTTCTAATACTTGGGGTTTATTCTTACTAGTGTTATTGCTTGGTATGTAATAGTTTTTACTCAATATATTTGCACATAAATTTTCTCTAATGTAAATTCTTATAAATTTTTGTAGGATATGCGTTAGTTGAAGTGCCTCGTTCACTATGGAATAATGCTATACCTGGATTCACTTTGCAATACGCGTATTTTAAAGTCGCGAAATTAAATTCGAGTAAAGCAGAGGCAGAGGAAAATGTAGAGGACGTTTTAGAGTCTTTGCAAGGTATAAGTCGCACCGTTCCAAACAATCACCAATTACGCCCCTGTGTGGAAACAATATTGCGCAAAGTACCAACAGAGCTTTTGGAACGTGCTGTACGGAACTACACAAGAGGTGGTGGTAGTGGTGGAACCTCATCAATTATACCTTCTGAAAAAGCACTGGTACGGATTCACAAGCAAGTAATAAAATCATTACAGACCTTAGAACGTAGCGAGTCTCTTTGGAGTGTGCAAGTAGAGAATGTTTTCTATCTGGAAGATGTGTCTCGTAATATGCATTCTCAAGATCGTCGATTTAAATCAGAATTTCCGCCGCAAAGAACGCAACTAGGCAAAATTATGTACAGCCCGTTAATACATTGGTATTGGGAGTGTTTCTGTAAAGCTCATTTTTTTAAAATGTTATTTGTTTTGGCGTCAATGATGTCGATCATGGTTGTTTGGAGTGAGCTTACTTTTTTTAATAGACGCCCAGTGCTTTCCATATTTGCAAATGTCATAAATTTAGCTAAGTATAGCTACGATTTTTTCACTATCGAACTATTTTCAATGATAGTACTTTGTTATCTTTTTTACTGCACATATTCCACTATTTTGCGCATACGTTTTCTTAATCTATATTATCTGGCACCTCATCATCAAACAAACGAGCATAGCTTAATTTTTAGTGGCATGTTATTGTGCCGATTGACTCCTCCAATGTGTCTTAATTTTCTTGGACTGATACACATGGACTCACATATTATTAAAGAGGTAAATTGGTATATTTATACAAAAGTTGTTATAAAAAAAAAAAAGTAATTTATATTTTTAGCGCATTCTTGAAACATACTACACCCAAATTATGGGTCACATGGATGTTATTGGGATAATTTCTGATGGGTTTAACATTTATTTCCCAATGTGTATGTTGGCCTTTTGTCTCGCTACTTGGTTTAGTTTGGGTAGTCGTGCTTTAAATGCTATGGGTTTTCAACAATTTCTACAAAACGAAACCATTGCAACCGAGTTGGTTCAAGAGGGAAAAGATCTAATAGCAAGAGAGAAAAGACGTCGCCAACGTGTAGAGGAAGCTTTATCAAGACGTAGGGACCCCACTTCTATAACAAATGAATATATTGCTAAATATCGCAATTTAAGTGGATCCAGCATACAAGCTGGCGGTTTTGGTGCACACCGTACTCCAACAGATGGGCTTTTGTGCGATGGGGAGAGAGTTGGTTACGCGACTGTTTCAACGTCTTTAAACTCTCGATCGTCACCATTAACAGTACCTCGCAGTCTATCCGAAGAAATTAATGAACGCTTTGGATTAAGTACTCATGTAGAAATCGGATTTAAAGGTACCGCGAATACCTTCGATCGGAATGAGACAATCGAAAGCTCTGAGAACATGGAAAGACGTATAGGATCACCACCTCGTGACCTCTTTGATGATGTTTGAACATTAACTTTTATTAAATCCATCACGAAAAAACCAGTTGAAACGGTATTTAAAATAATCGAATACCACCTAATTAAAATTTTTTAGCATGCGAGCTAAAAACAAGATTTTGGTTAGTATTATATAGAATAATAAATACACGCTTACTTAGATGATTAACACGAAAATGTTCGACATAATTAGAACAAATGTTCTATATAGATAAGTAAATATTTACGCATATAAAAATAGTTTTAAATATGAGCGTATGAATATAAATGATTTTAATTTATAGGATAATAAAATATGAAATTATATATCTACATAAAGTATGTGAAGAAATACTTTACACACTGAAATAAACAGTAAAAATTTGACTTTGATTGTAAAATTGATAGACTTCTGTTTAGTTTTTGCTTTTGATTCAAGCTAGTCTAGAGAAAATATTACCAAGTTCAAATAAAAAACAAAAACTTAGTCAAAGAAGGTATATATGTCGTCATTGGCCAATACTTTCATTTCTCACCGAACAGAGGTGTTGGCATGGTGTATTCACTGTATATCGACAGCGACATCTATCGATGTCGGGAAAAGCTCCAACGTCGATAATGCAGTGCGTGTTGAAAGTCTCCGAGGGGATTAACACCAGAGCCACGTGTAACCTTCGTTTCACGATTAGAGCGATCATCATGTATAAAGTTCTGATATCAGCAAATTATTTATTTCTATGTTAACAATTAAAATTAAGATACTATATAAATGAAATTCTTATCTCTGTTAAATCATTAACGCTAAATGATTTAACAAAGATAACTATTTCGTTTATATAGTATCTTAAAAACGTACATCAGATCTCTGCTCCCCATACAAGATGCCTTTTGCCACCAACTAAATCTAAATATGACGAGATCCAATGCATGCGGTGGGAGAAAATGTCCATATCTCTCGTCTCCACGCAGAAGTTGCTAAGATCGACGAGTACTTTTAGTTCGACTCTCTGAAACGCAACACAAGGATTGCAATAAGTTATCACTACAAGGCTTATCTGATCCAAAGTGTTGTTTAAAAAATAGTAAATATACATACATACGTCATTTGCCACAAAGATTTAAGGCAACGCAGCTGCAAAACCTTCAGTTGACGCTCATCTTTCAATAGATTTTTACAAACATATGTATGTACTTATTATTACAACAAAATAATATTTTCTCTAAGCATTGTTAAAAAATTTAAACTTTTATTTTTTACATTTGCCTTTGTATATACTTACATACATACATATTTATCATAATGGCTCCATACTTGTTAGAGTTGCTCGCATTAAAGCAAATCTTTTTTTTCATAAAGCTACACTTTCGTTTTTTCTTTCAAACAAAACAGGAAAAGGTGTATTTTCAATTGGCTGAAGCCAATTATCTTCAGAATATTTCACATTTTCAGTCTCAATAACATGAAATGTGTAAGCATGTCTACTCTTTTGCGACTGATTTTGTTCGCTTTTATGCACCACATTGCCGTGAATAATGATACATGTGCCTATAAAGCATAAGATAAGTAAAATAAAAAAAAAGTAATAATAACATATATGCCAATGTACAAATTTTAATTGTTTTACCTTTGTTTACAATTAGTGGCGTGAAACTTGATTGTGAATATATTGGTGCAGGTCGATCGTATATAAGTAATTGATTGGCTTCTTTATCCGGATTGCGCATGTAACGGCGATGAACTCCACTTTTATGGGATCCTTTAATAGCCTGCAAGCAACCATTTTGGAGAGTACAATCTTCGAGAGCAAACCAAAACCCAATCACCGAGTTCGGCTCGGTGTGCAAAAACCATGAATCCTGATGCGATATAACCTCCCCACCTATACCTGGATTTTTGTAGATATACATACTTTGACATACTGCCGGCTTATTGAAGTTTAACTGCCAACAGACTTCCTTAACACGATTACTGAACGTCATCTTATTGAATATGGAATGATGAATATGTAAGGAGTGTCCTACTTTATTTAGAGCTATCATAGGATCTACTAATAGTTCACCATTTTCTCCCACAGCACCTTCCTCAAAGAAAAAACGAACTTTGTCACCTGAATCAAGAAAATAAGTTTCTTTGCTGTGAGCATCCTTTTGATTTACTGTGCTGAAGATTTTCCGATTTTCTTGTGGTGCATCCATACAAAGTTCTCGTCCTGCTGAGTAAAGTTCATTGACTTCGTCTGGGTTAAGGAAACTTTCAATAACAATGTAACCATTTTGGTTGAGCTGAAAATTTTAAATTAAAATAAATAGTTAATCTCATGTAGAAAAGCATAATTTTAATCAAGTTGGTAGTCACCAAACTGCCTTAGTCTCAGCTTCTAATAAGTTAATTGGTAAAGCTTCTGGTAAGCGGCTACTTTGCTTGGTCATTATAAAGATCGTTAATTCATCCATATAAGCAATCTAAAAATCTACCCACATACACATATCTCAGCAACAATGCCTTTTCAGGGGACTCAGGCATACGTAGGTATGTGTACTAGTGAATAGATACCACCTAGTAACTGGACAGTACATAAGTTTTTATAAAATATAAGAAAACTGTCAATAATTTTGTATCTAAAATAAATGCAGGCATTAATTTATTATCTTTTTACGAGAAAAGTGTGAAAAAATAATTTTTTGTTAGTGAGAGAGAGAATTTTAATTGAAGAACTCTAGGTTTTTATTATGTAAATGGGTTTGATAGTTTTTATATTTATTGATAATTAATACATATTTAAAAAAAATAAGCCAATTTTCAAGTTACGGATAGTGTGACTGGTAACTGAAAATATGTGAAAAAATATTTCTCTCACTATCCGCACAGCCATTTATTTATCATTATTATATACGTTACATTTAATTTAAATTTCTATTAAAATGAATTTCAAGCATAAACGTTCATACATATACATATTTCAATTTAATTTAATTCAATTTAATTTAATTTCAAGGCGAATTAATTTATTTAATAATAATAACAAAGCATTAGTGCAATAATATTTTCCTATCTTTTTTAGTACAACAGAGATAGTGTGAAGAATAAGTTAATATTACAGATACATTAACAAAAATTATAATAATATATAATGAACTGAGTATGACAAAAATTTAAACAATTATTAAATGGTCAGTGTTTGTTGGAATTTGGCCTTTAAAATTCATATATATGTGGTTCTGGAAATTCCTTCTATTTAATTTCCTCCTTAAATTATCTGGAAGAATGTTCCATAATCGGCTAGCATTGACAACGAACAGCCTTGACGATTGGTGCGATTTATGAAAAGGTATTATAACATTACCTACTCTACTTAGAAAATAGATAGCTAGGAGTTTGAAACATAATGAGTTTGCAAAGAAAAATACTAATACCAGCCAAAAATATCAGCCAAGTCAGTATTAATGCTTTTACATAGCTCTTTAGCATGATCAAAAGGTGCAAATAAATATTACTGAATACCATCAGCATAACCATGCAGGTTTGAAAATTTGATCAAATGCTCTTGAAAAGTCAAGTAAGCAAAGCAGGGTGAATTTATTCTGATCCATGTTGGATCGAATGTCATCACTAATTTTAAGTACCGCAGTACTACAGCTGTGATTTTTACTGAAGCCTGATTGAAACGGATACATTAAATTGTGCTTGCTTAACCAAAAGCATCTCAAAAACTTTAGACAATACAGGGAGGATGCTCATTGGTCGAAAATCAGACGGACTACAAGAATGGTTCTTTTTAGCGACAGGTAGTACAGTGCCAATTTTCCATTGCCCTGAGAAACAAGGCGTGGTAATACAATGATTAATAATGTGCGTTAGTGTCCTAAGAATGCATGGTAGTACAATTTTAATAAATTTAATTGGTAAGCCATCATGCCCTGTTGCATTGGATGAGATTTTAAATATACACATTCACTAACAACTGAAAATAGAAAACAAGCATCCCTAAACAAAAGACCATCCTTCGATATAAAGTTAATAGTGTCACTGTAAGGTACTCAGTTTAGAAGAAAGGCATTATTAACTACATTTGCTTTTAAGGAACATTCTACACTCTCCTTACAATGAACACCAAGTCGTTTAATGTTACACCATAAAACTTTTGTTGATAGACAAGAATTTAGTTTCTTGTTAAAATAAGCTCGTTTTTCATTTCTGATAACAAGTGTCGCTCTGTTTAAAGGCATTCCAAGATTATTTCGTAACTTCACTTAATTTCAGAGATTTTGAGGTAAACCATGGACAGGATAGAGACTTATCAGTGACTGTACGAAGGGGAACATGTCTCTTGAAGGCAGACTTCAAAATTCTCATTAAGAAATCCAGTTTTTCATCGGCCGATGAATATACCCAACACTAGCTCTAGTCTACTCCATACAGTTCAGAAAGAAGTAAATTTGTATTGACAAAGCGGAAATCTCTAAATGAGATAGTCTTATTTATGCAACAACGATCGATATTTATGTCCAACCAGCAGAAAATGAGATCATGGCAGATACAGAAGTTAATTGGTCAAATTTTAATACAGTAGTTAAGTCAGAAATTATAAAGCAGTTAAGAAGACTAGGAGTGCAATTCACTACAAAACGCATAGGAAGTGATCGGTTGACCACAGAAAGAGAGCAGAGAGAGTTTAAGAGCCTTTGACTAGGAAATTAACATTGAAATTACCACAAACTATACCTGAATTATACTTAACAACATATAAAAAAAATTACATCAAAAAAAGGGTTGAGTTTTCGGCTTACTTCTACAATTAAATATTCAATATCACTATCAGCAGATTTTGAAAGTAATTTCATAGAATATTGCAGCCCCACCTCCTCTTCTTCCTGTCATGCGTATTAATTTGTAGTTTTTTATGTTAGTAGAAGAGTAACATAAATCCTCATCAAACCATGTTTCAGAAACACAAATGACGAAATCGCTGAAGATCATCACTATTTCCTATTTTGCATGCCGTGGAGTCTGTAGCGCTTCTAGCAAAAACATCTCCTCTCATAGAGAACACCGCCTGCAGCTTCCCCAAACGTTTTAGTTTTAATCCTTCTTGTAAAATTATTCTATTCTTAGTTGATTTGGCATCAATTCCTATAGATGTAAGAGGAATAGCCGATTTTATTCTCTTTCGACACACAGAGAATTCTTCGCGCATTCAGCAGGAGAATAAAATTTTATGATCATCATATTCGACTTTTTTATTCTGAAAGCATCACGTATCTGTGGTACCATAAAGTCAATGGAGAAACAGACTCGATTGAAAATACTCCTTATGTTCTCTGCCTCCGTAAATGGTACACCAAAAACAATTGCATCTGCCTAAGAACTCTCACATCTGTTTTCAGTTTCCGCATCTCACCTTCTTGTTGTTTTACATCAGCTTCAAGTCTCAAAACGCGCTCAGAAGACTCATTGCACTTGCGCAAGAGAGCGTGTTAAAAAGAGAGTACATCTCTTCTGTTTGCATTTCCACTCTCTCGTCCAAATTTCAATAAAGTGGGAAGAGCATATTTTAAGTATTTTATTACAAACAACGACGTCTTTAATTGCAATTTCACTAAAATATTTCATTGAGAAACAATTTAATATTTAATTATATTAAGTTTTAATAATAAAATAACAATCATTTCTTATGGATTTTTTATTGACATAGTGGCACTGGTGCGTCTTGCCCATCAGATGTTGAATGTTCCCCGATCTGACACTGCTGCCAACATTAGAATGTGAGATGGGGGAACGCTCTCAGCTGCAATTTGAGTGATTTTGAGTAAGTTTCGTATCTAATCATCTTTGTTATTACTATGATCGTTAAGCTTAATGTTGCAACTATCCATTTTACTTACCATCCGTCCATAACAGGCGACGTCAAGAGCGATTTACATACACGAGTTATCGACGCTGCTGAGAGCGGCGAAATGTTGCCAGCTGCCAGTGTCTTTGCACATTTCGGCATAAATATATAATTTTCGTCAACATATTTCATAATTTATGTCTTCGAATATAAACGCAAATCAAATATACATGATCTGTATGGTAGCCAATAATTAGTTCCGAATTTAGTTTTCATTTCTTTTGAAAAAAACTACGCATTACATGGCGCTCTCATAAGATAGGTTGCTATGGATGGAAGGTACGTGAGTTGGGTATTTGCAGCATAAAAGACTTGGCCAACGGTGATTCTCTGCTAGCACGGCGTTTTAGGCTGGATTGGCTGGCTGAGGTGGTCATATTTAATTAAAAAGTAAATTGAAAAATACACAAAGATATACAAGAAAATCACCTTCAACGGGCAAAAAAACAAACAAACTGTCTCACTGAATCAATACCAAGAATTGTTACTTTAATTGTCACCGACACAACATTAAATTCTCGAGCTTAGACAAAACAATGATTTCGTTAAAAAAAGGTGAGTCTGTCATCCGAGACATCTTTAGATTTTTCATTGGAGTTTACTTTTCATATGATAGGTCTCAAACCCTACGCAAAACCGTATGGGATTCACATTCTCATTTTAACTCACATCCAAACAGATGTTTGTTTGCTATCCAGGGGTACTTGGGTTGTTTGAACCATATGCAAAGAATCGTTTAAGTTCACTCACATATGAATGGCTGTCAGAAACTTTCCTCATTTTCTTGAGCTTCCATCCCCCTGAAAAAATATTACATATTTTCTAATGGACCTATCTGGAAACTAAAATTAAAATTCGAAAATTGTGCAAAGAAAGAAACTAACTATAAGTGTCTATTATATACTGTATAAATAAAGAAAACTAATCAAATTCTTGTGAGATAAGTTACGATAGATCATATAGGTCACATTTTTTAAACCTACTTATGGATGTATCTACACAAACTTACATTCACACATACATTTATAATAATACAACATTTTAGTTAGGTCTTGAATATAAAATTTAAGAATTACACAATTACACAAACTGTTTCCATATTCGTATCAGCGATTTTTCCCTTATGCTAAATGAGGGTTTAGTTCCATTATTATCGCGATTCTCTCATACATATGATTATGTATATGTACATATGTTAATATTTATATTTATGCGATCAATCATAACTAAATACATATTTTTTGTTACATTACGGAAAATTAATACTGCGAAGAAATTGTTACTTTAAGAATATTTTATTACAGTATATATACGTGTATATACGCATGTACATTAATAGCCGATTCTTAACACGAAAAACAAAAATTCAATACTCCTGACGGTTATTAAAATTACCAAAGATGGTCTTGCTATTAAAAATTTATTTATTAATTTTGAATTTTATTTAGTAATTTTAAAGCGCTCTCGTACTGTCATGAGTTTCACAACCATTTATCCCTGGTCCAATTCATTCATAACCAAATATAATACCTCAGAAAGCTTTAAAACTTTCATTTGATCTGCCGAGTAAGCAGAAGTAAATCAGTCTTTAAAGTAACGGAACGAAAAAAGTTTACAACATTAAAAAACTGCTGAAACTGCAATTAAGTGTATTAATGCTTTTCAATAATTCACTTAACAGCGTCAAATGCAGAGTATAAATTATACTCTGCCCAATAGTCGTATTCACGTATTTTTCATTAAAATCTCATATCTGAATGAATCGGTTATATGGAGCCTATATGATATAGTCCTCCGAGTACGATGAGTTTCAATGACAATGTTATTTGCAGATACGAGTGTATAATATATAATGTATAATTGGCACTATGCGATTTTTCGGCCGAGCTCCGACTCCAATTTGTGGTTTTTGCGTCTTTATGTTTTTACAACAAATTGAAGCACATACAGTTCTATAATAAGCCTCCTACGAACGACTGATGGTTTTTATGAGGAGCTTTTTCATGGCAGGAATACACTCGGAAGGACGATCGTAATTAGAAAATTTAGCTTAATTTTTTATTTAACTTAATTTTCTCTAAATTTTTGGATGTTAGCACTAAACCAGGATATAAACACGTGCCTTCCAAATGGTTGTGCGCAATACCGCACGATCGTTTAAATGTAACAGTGCGTCAGTGTTTGATTGAAGTAAAATTTGGTAACAAGAGAGCGCAATTTGGACGTTTAGTTGGAGAGAAAGTTGCAAATTCGCGCTGAGAAAATTTGACACAGTAAAATCTAGCTGCTGAATCATATGGTGATCATATGATTGAATTTTTGTCAACAAAAGAAAATTGATTTAAGATTAAAATAGTTTTGTTTCTTTAATATGAATGATATGCCAACAAACTAAGTGCTTGAATGTAATGTTGTTTAATTTAACTGAACAATATCAACGATTCCAACAATGGTAAAAGCAAGGAATTATCTCCTCACACCACCCAGCTTATGTTGAGAAATTAGAAGCTAGGAAGGTATGGAATTAGTATATATTATTATTTTTTTGATTTTAATTTTGGATTTTCTATAATTTACTATTGTAGAAAGCAGTGTCGACCAAATGAGCCGCAAAACAAATTCCAAGCAAAATTTTCTTTCTTTGAGAGAGTAAAACACTTTGCCAATTTTATTAAAACACTCATGAAAATACTTAAAAAGAGAAAACAATAGTCTATATAAATGAACCGACGAAATGTAACAACCAAAATTAACAGCAGACTAGATTTACTGCTCGGTGAACACTTTGTAAATTTCTCTTTTTGGGAAAATGAGACATCTTACTGTTCCAATTTCGTTTCTGGATAATTCTTACTGACATATCTTCCTGAATAGGGTTAACATCATTTCGGATTTGGAATTTAGTTAATCCTTCTGTTAACCTTAACCTTGGACCTATTTGTAAAATCAGCGATAAGCTGCCTAGGCTTCTTAAAAAAATATGATGGTAATTATTTTTATATTCTATTTATTTATGCACACATTTACCTCGTGCAACAACACATTCCTCTATTATAATTTCAAAGGCATTGGTTCTCATCATATACTACAAACATTCATACCTCATCAAGTAATGTGCTATGCATTTTTCCTGTTCCCTGTCCGTCTGCCTTTGGGTTGGTACTCGCGTGTTTTATTTTATTTTGCTCACTAATAGAAGCTATGCAATTTTGTCTATAATATCGTTTGCATAAGAATAAAAATTGAACATTTACCAATGCTGTTATTTATTTACACACCTTTTAAAAATTAAGTTTAGAAAGTATTGCACGAAAGAAAATCTGATTGAGCAGATGCACATTCAATTCTGAACTAATTTAAAATGTCTCCCACTCAGTTCAGTATATATTATACGTACGTGATTTTGTCGAGAGGAAGATAATTATGTGTGTACATACATATAGGTCGGCACATATACTCGTAGTCAGCTTCCGTCAGTGTTGGTGTTCATGTTGATTAACCCTGCATAAATTTGTGATCCATTGGAGTACCTATTGGATAACTTTTCTGTAATACGATATTGGACCAGCTTAAGTATCGCTAACAATGTTTTAATGATCGGAATCACTAAACGAAGTTTCAAGTTCGCAATGAATTTTTTTTAGAGGAACAGAAAATTAAATGTAAACAGAAGACGTTTTCAAGTTTGAGGTATATTTTTAATGCAATTTAATATAATGAATATGAATTGTTATGATAAATATTATACATTTAGTATTTTTTGTTACTTTTGTAGTACTATTTCATGAATATATGGAGTACTCGTGTTTTTCGCAGCAAGCGAACACGCGACACAAAAGTAGACCTTATTATTTAAGTAAGTACAAAAGTAAATATTTATGTATGTATAATAAAGTCGTGACAATTGTGATCTTCATTCAATCATTAGCAGGTTGTAGGATTGTTGTTGTTAGGCTAGTGTTATCATCTGGTAATAAAGTGGCATTCGCGTAGACCAGAGGTTGCCAAAATAAAATTGGAAGCGCGTTAGTGAACGAAGAGATAATGAACTAAAAAACTAATTATGTTCGTGTATATTTTTTTAAATGTCTTATTTTTGAATAATCGTTGTAACTTTGTATTGCTTTACAATAAAATGAACATTGAATAACATTAAAAGCGTTTCAAATCATAAAATACTTTTGACAGCAGTGGGTACGCATGAGCGGAGTCCTATTGTAAAGTGAAATCAGTATACTGTGAAAGTTGTATAATTAGTCTCCACGTATGGTGTAACGCCTCCTTCCAAAGGTGGCCCTAAACTAAACAGTACGGATCTAGAGCTGGACGGTGTCGAACATACCATTCTCCCTAATCCAGAGTGTCAAGAAGCTTAGCGCCGTCCCGGCCGATAAATTGACGGAGGTGCAAAAATCCAGCCAGTGAGAAGCGGACGGTAGGTTCAAGCAGCCTCCTCTACCAAAAAGGTCTCTGGAAAACACCTCGAGTGGATCCAAGAGGCCCAAGCCTACAGCAGCACATCCAAAGCCAACCGCCCAAACTGCAAGATCCTTTAGCGAGGTTGCCAAAGAACATTTCACTGGACAACTGGAAATTTGTTCTGATGAGTCTGTGTAGGGTACACAAAGGAATATTGCAAAGACATCCTGGCCTCACTCCCGTGGTGCGCGACGTGGGGTAACTAGAGGATAGCCCAAGTGGGCGACGCCAAGGAGAAGCAACGCTTTGCGAGATTCCTCATAAACGGTGCTTCCTTCCCAGCCCTCGTGAACGCTTAAAGTCTACAAGAAGGGTGAGAACCAAACTAGGGTAATAGAGAACGCCGCGAGCGAGTCTACTAGCCCTACAGGTACCAAAGAAGAGGTTCCCCGTCTCAAGGGGAGAGGAAGAATGTTTGGCACTAATCGAAAATACCATGAATGTACTGGGAGTTTCTTGTGACCCGGAGGAGGAGATCCGTGTCGAATCGGATGCTAAAAGCGAAACGACGGATTTTACCCTCCGGTACAGATACTTGAAATTAATCTGCACCACTTCAAGGCAGCGTCAGCTGCCCTCATACTGCTCCTATGCGAGACATGGTTCTGGCCCAAGAACCCTGGATAGTGGGTGACAAGTTCTGTGGACTAAATTCTGCTTGCTCTCATGAAGAAAATATAGGTCTAGGGCTTGCTTTTTGTTAGGAAAAACTTTCCTTATTTTCTTCTCTCATAATAGCCGTAAAACGCCGCTGACACAGTCAACAACGAGCTAAAACTGAGGGAGACATGTATGACATGTAGTCAATGAACGCTTCTTCTCTGACCATCTATGCATATCTTTTAATGTCAACATGACATCTCCATCGATCGCAGCGCACAGGCATAGAAAAAGCACTGAACGACTTTTAGAAAAGTTCTGACAGCATCCTTTGTCACATGACGCTTCTCGCGATAAGCTACGCATATCCTTAAGACTTGATGAAGCGGGGACATCTAAAACAGGGTCTACTTATCTCGGTGAGTTTGACTTATCATCGAAAAATGATGATGCAGAAGGTTTGTAACAAAAGTCTGTAGGTCTCATGCCCTCTATCCATCCCATCGATGAAGAAAAGACCCAAATGGTGGAACAACGAAACCCCTATTTTAAGGAATTTCAGAGGGCTGAGAACATCCCAACCTCATTTCTATGTATAATTTACAAAACCTGTCTGCGTGAAGGATACAGCCTACATGATATACTCGTAGTCGGCCGCATCGAAAATGGACTTGCCGCGAAGGACAACATTCTTCCTGCCTTTGTAATAGATTTTCTTCAAGAAATGGGTCTCCAACAGCCCATAGTGAATCTAGTAGAGTCTCTTCTGAGGAACAGGACCATTTTCGCAGAGATGGGCCACGGCAGCGTCGCCAGACACACAACAAGAGGCAACCCTCAAAGTGGAGTTTTATCACCACTGCTATGGTGCTTAACAGCCAACACGCTGATTAGAAAACTACACAACATAGATTAGGGTATTGTGGCATACCGCGACAACTTTGAAATGACAGCTACAGGCAAACACCTACAAACATCAACCGAAGTCAAATATCTTGGGATAATCTTAGATAGGAAACTAAGCAGGAGCCGGAACACGGCAGAAAGATCAAGGAAAGCTATAACTGCACTCTACTAATTCTTCCCAACTTCCTTCCTCTGGACCTATACGGGAAACTGCAAGCTGTTTGCAACTCAACCTTGGAAGATTTGCAGTATAGAAACTACAAAAATTTTATCTCTTACAGAGGTGCTGAATGAGCTTGACCACACCACCTCCAGTGTATGGATCGATAGTCTTTTTTTCCACTAGAATCTTAAACAGATTCGAGTGGGAAAGCACCAACACCCCCAGACAGGGAGCAATAGTCATCTTCACACGCGACTGGAAGCTTGATAGAAAAATGGGTTGCGGAATTAATTCTTCCATGCTCTAATTAAGTATGAGCATGAGAATATCGGACCACTGTGGCGTTTTCCAGGCAGAACTCTTTGCAATCATAGAGGCCCCGGAATGGTTGCACAAATCTACGGCAGCAGGACAATCGGTTACAATTTACTCCGACAGTCAGGCTGCACGCCAAAAATGGCCATATATTGGTGGTCCACGGCAAAGTACATGTTTAAACTGACCTTTTCCAGGGAATTTGACTCAAGACCAGACGGCCTTTATAAATCACACGAAATGGTTCGGTCATTTCAGATACCTCAGCGGTATCACAATGGGTCTATTGACCAGCAGCCGCATCTACTCATAGTGTAACATAGTTATATTTGATATATTTGATATTTTGATATAAATGAAAATTGCGGATTTTTGAGCCCTCTCAGGAAATAAAGAGTTTCTTATCTAGTTATCTTTGAAGTCGGCCATTGTCGGCATTGATGATCAGATACGAAACTCCTTTTTATAACATTTCTGAACTGTGATAGAAAAAGAACTTCTTTGGATTTGTGGATATATTTTGGGTATTTTATTATAAACAACGACCATTTCACTTAAATATTTCACTGAGAAACCATTAAACATTTAATAAAATTAAGTTTTATTAATAAAATTACTATAATTTCTTTAATATTTACTGCTGAATCAAATTTTTTTTGAAACAAAAACAATTGATTTTTTTTATTGACAGTGGTACTGGTGCATTTTGTTCAATGTTCCCCGATCTCACGCTTCCAACATTAGAATGTGAGATGGAGGAACGCTCTCAGCTGCAATTTAAGAGATTTTGAATAAGTTTCGTATTTAGTCATCTTTGATTGTCGGCTTAACTTACTACTAAAACTAAACTTACTTAAAATCACTCAAATTGCAGCTGAGAGCGTTCCCGTATCTCATATGTTAATATCGGCAGCAGTGTCAGTTCGGGGAATATTCAACAGCTGATATGCAAAACCCACTACCACAGTCAATAAAAAAAATCCATTTCTTTTGTTTCAAATTTTTGTAAATTTATTATTTAAACTTAATATTATTAAACATTGGATTGTTTCTAACGATATATTTTAGTGAAATTACAATTAAAGACGTCGTTGTTCGTAATAAAATATCCAAAATATACCTAAAAATTCAAAGAAGTAATTTTTCTATCGTAGTGGCACTCTTCAGAAATCTTATAAAAACTGCGAATTTCTGAGCGCTCTCACAAAATATAGTTTCGTATCTACCATTGTACAAACCCACAAGTAACAAAACTCAGATTTTTCACACACACAAGCTAACTTTTTACGCATATATATTTAGTTGAATGCTGTGTGAAGGAAAGAAATTGCAATAAGAATAGAATAGAATGAAAAAGCGATTTCGAGGATAGGCACCAACCGCAGGCATAAAGAAGGATATCCAACTTAATGGATGATAAAAAATGTAATTTTAAATATAAACTTTATTATTGAAAGGAGTTTAAGTTTAATATTTCTGAAATTGAAAGCATGTAATCAATTCTCACTTAACGAATATTTATTTATGTAACTTAAATTCACCGCAATAAAGAAAACGGGAATTTTTAATATGTATATAAATACTTTTAAATATAAACTTTATTATTGAAAGGAGTTTAAATTTAATATATCTAAAATTGAAAGTACATGCTTTTCAATTGTCACGAACGAACAGCGAACTCAAGTTATGAGTGACAAAATGAAGGCCAGGTATGACAAGGCGATGAACTCCGAAGGTTTCCAAAATGGAGATTTGGTGTTGCTGTACAAGAGGGGTTTGTCCCCAAAACTTCAATGTAATTGGGAAGGTCCATACAAGGTAATCAAACGGCTAAATGACGTAGTGTATCGGATCCAAACCGTTGGGAGT